AAATAATAAGAAATAATAAATAAAATAAAAAAGGTGATGAAGTAAAAAATAAGAAAAAAAATTAAAAAATAAACAATAATAAGATTAAAAAATTATAAAAAATAAAAAAAAGTAAACGATAAGCTAAAAATGTAAAAAAGTAAAAAAATTAATAAAAATGTGATAAAGTTTAAAAAAATAAAGAAACAATAAAAAAAATAAAGCTAACCCTGCCATCCGGTTGCCATTCTCCGTTGATGGGGGCGGGGGGGTAGATGCCTATGGTTTGTTTTCAGTTCAGGATGGATAATCATCTATCCGAAAGATAGTCCTCTATCCTGAACTGCAGGTAAATGTTTCATGTATGATTACATGCGGACTGCTGCTGTCAGATGCAGCCTCCATCAGCCTGTCCTTGACTTGAAACAGCACAGCGGCCACATCCGTCAGCGGCAGTCTGCATGGATTCTTACCTGAAACAACTACCTGCAGTTCGAGACAGACGATTGTCCCTGGATGAAATCTGTGTGCATCCAGGGGCAATCATTTATCCCGAACTGCAGTTTAGTGCGCTGTAGGTACTTGCCGCATGAACCCCCAACTGCAGCCTAAAGCCTGTGTGAATGGAGCGTTAACATACAAACGTGATTGGCTTTCAGGTTTAACATATCAGTGCATATTTCAGTTATAGGTGGTTAGCAATTAGAGTACCAAAATATTGTCACCAGAGCTCCCAAGTGATATAGGAGGTGAGATGGGTAATTTATCCTGTTGATATACAGGTTTCAGTTCCCAGTAGACTGACTCTTTAATGATGAGAAACCAAGGCAAACACTGATAACATAGGCTACTAACACGCACACACACACACACACACACACACACACACACACACACACACACACACGCGCACTATGCTCATTCAAAGTTCTTTTATCAGAGGGTAGCACTGAACTGAAACAGAACAGAAATCTAATCTACAAGCATGAAATAATGATATTAAAAAGGAGATTAAGGGGGGACATGATTTTCATGTATAAAATGTTTACCGGGGATAGTAACATTAGCAGCAAACTTTTTACAATTAACTCTATGACAAGGACAAGAGGCCACCACTTTAAATTGGTGGAGAAAAAAAATTCAGCACAAGGGGCGAAGGGGTTTCTTCTCAGTTAGATCGGTCAAGGTCTGGAACTCGCTGCCACATGCTGTGATTTCGGCTGAGAGTGTGGAATCATTCAAGAGGCGACTGGACGATTTCCTCAGCGACCGTAATATACAGGGGTACAAGTACTCTTAAAATTTAGAACACACAAGGGACCTATACATACCACACACCAATAGGACCATATACACATACACAAATAGGTTGGACTTGATGGACATATGTCTTTATTCAACCTCAAATACTATGTAACTATGTAATAATTTACACACATACATTAATTCATAGCAAGCTACACCATACAGCAGTAATAGATTTAATGACATTTCTGTTCAATTGGACAAAGAGCTTTGTAGCCTCTACTAAATGGTTACGCTCCATTTTTCTCACTTTCCCTACTAGCCATGGTAAGTGATTAAATGCCATATAATGTACAGTCATCATGCAAAACCTGTTTTGTGACAAAAGTGTTCTTTAAAAACACAAAACACAAGCTCCCTGCAGTAGCAAATGTTGACTGGTGTAATAAGAGCTACCTGGTGTAATAAGAGCTACCTATCTAGATGGTTTTAAATCACATGCAGGCGTAATAATGCTAAAATAGCTGTACAGTGACCCAGAAACCAATCAGAACTCTTCCACTGTACATTAAAAATGAAAATCTGACTTTAGTTAAAATTGGATGGGTCTTTTAGAGTCATAGATAACAATGTCCAGTCAAGGCAAACCATCTTATAGGTATAGCTTTCCACAGAAATAATTCTACCTTTACCTCTTTTAGCTGGCAAGACCTCTGCATTCTTGTTGTGGGCATAAGTTGCCTGGCTTTATCTACAATTTCATATGCAAATGAACTATAATCCTCTACACCAGCAGATCCTATAAATACCCATCTGCAGCACAAACAGCTTGCAGATTAGATCCCATGAAAATAAAACTGAAATTCATGATCAGCTACTTGTAATGAATTAGTCTTAAAGCCTGTGGCTATGCCAACCATTTCTTCCCAAGAACTGCAGTTTTAGGAGGATCAGGAAGTGACCAAACTGCCTATGGATTGTTTACAATTACCCCCAGATCTTTTTCAAATCTTCTCATAGGGTGAGAATATTATGGAACAACTTTTTTTTTCTCAGCTAAGAAACAAGACTACTCACAGGATGGTCATAGGAAAGAAAGATCGGCTGGATTGTTTGCCATTTTCTACATGCCATATTGTCTATGGCTAGAACACTGCTTCATGGGGTTCCAAAGATACAAAATTCTGAATTAGTCTCAGAGAAAATGTATGTATCTGGCACAAAATTCAAGAGGAAAAAAAACCACTACAGGAGACAATAGGGCAGGTTGATACATTTGAATTGTGGGTCATCCAAGACTTAGAGCCCGCAAAAGGCAAAAAAGGATGCCAGTAATGCCTGTGGTCTCCCTAGAGCTAATCTTTTACCTGTTACAGGCTTATCATGTCTTGTTATGCAGTGTGTCTCTATGTGAAGGTGGTCTTGGTAGAGGAACAGGGTTTTGCTTCTTCATGTCAAGGCTACCATCCCGATAGCTGGTTATCTGATGACTGGCGGAGCAATATTCAAGCAGCAGGTAAGGTTTAGAAAGCACAGATTGAGAAAACACATAAAGTGGAAGCAAGGAGATGCTTGTCTGCAGGTCCTTATGTACAGCTTTCTCTCCAGCAAGGAGAACAGTGAGCAGCACAGTAGTGACATCACCAAATCTTAATGATCTAGTGTGACTAGCAAACAGGGGCAGCGATGCCTTAGATGATCTCACACTGCAGATATACAGTTATTAGGCAGCTGTAGGCAAATGTAGGATTCTGCTATCTTTCAGGAGGAATTCCAGGCAAAAGGTACATTTTCAGTGCACAGTTACCATTTCTATATGTTTCCTATAATATCGCAAATCTTTTTATTTTGACTACACTTTAATATTTCAGCCCAAAGGGTTTAGTCAAGACTGTCTGACCCCATAAAGCATTGTGGTGAAATATGCAGTCTGGGCCTAACTACAATACAAATGTATTCAGCCAGTCTACTAACATTTCTGTCATGCAGGAGAGACCTAACCATAAGTTTATTTAGTATTGTCCTTGTACATGTCTGGTGTGTCATGCTTTACGATTGTTACAGTTACTTTACCTCCTTGTCAGGAGCCGCTCCTGGCTCATCTGCATCCACTGCTCCTTTTACTTCCATCACTTGTTCCATAAGAAGATCACAGAACAGCCGAAGCTCTGACAGTTTCCGTCCCAGGCATTCGCTATCTGAGATCAATCCTGTAGAAGGTACATTGTCATTAGCAGGTGCATAAAAATAAATCACTGCAGCATGGAGTGATAAAAGTTCTTTAACAGTTCATATAGAGATACTACATAAAATAGCGCATACACTTTACCAATACATAATTCTCAATAAAAGCTGCTCTGGTAAGTCAGCCAGGTCTGTCTTTTTGACTAGATAGATGTATGTACATGTATTCCTACATGTATGTGCATGTAGGAATGTTACATAACAAGTAAAGGTCTTCCTAAAACACTGATCAATATTATACAAAGGTAATAATGGTTGGTACCAAACGGCAACCATGAAATTGTTGCCTGGCTTCAATAAATTGCTTCTGGCAGAAAGATTCAGCATAGATGGAAGTATTTGAATACATACGTGTGCATGAGCCCTTTCAGTAAGCTGAATATGTACTACTAAGGCCTCCTGTACACGGCCATATAAAAGAAAAACAAAAAACGCAATGCAAAAAAGGTTTTCCGTTTAGGGATCTGAAAGCAGGTATTTTGTTTTCAATGGGTCCATGCACACAGGTGTGTAAACATGCTCTGTGTTTAGATACACAACTCAAAAGTGGAAAAATCTGCATCTGAGGACATACGTTTTAAGCATGTACATGTGTGAATTCATGTTTACGCGCATACTTGCCCAATGCGCCTACATATGTAAATGAAGTCCTAACATGAAAATGACATTGAAAACAGATAAGAAGGGGTGAGCATGTAAAAAACGCATGTGTATTTACATCGAAGTCCCGGTTCATACCACAGGTGTTTGTGGCTCTGATTTGCCAGCACTGAAAAGCTCAACACAAGAAATCCCATTTATTTATATTGCCCCTGTTCACGCCGCAACGTAGCGTCACACGTAGAAAAGAGCCTGTTGCTGGAAAAAAAGTACATGAGCCTTTTTTTTTTTTGAGCAGATCAACGTGATTTGTCCCCATAGACTCAATAGGAAAAAGGGGCAAATCACGCTGATCTGCCCAAAAAAAAAGCTCACGGGTAAATGATCAGTTAATTTTTGTACGGCCACGAAGTAGATGTATAATAGTTCAAGACCTTTGTAGTAATACAGGCGCTTTAGTAACACAACTGCAATGTACTCCTTCTGAGAAATACAGCAATCAATGGGCAATGTGTGGTAAAAGAAACAAAGAAAGAAAATGTTTGAAAACAGGGCGGTACCTTAGGAACTCTGGATAGTTTATAAACTTATAAACCTTATCAAAACAATTTCTACAAACAGAAAATGTGCCAGCTTCAGGCCATTTCAGACAGGTAGTTATTAGTAGTGATCCTCTCTTTTAAGTGATCTCTTGGAAAAAGAAAATCCTAGTTATTTTCTATGGAATCGCTAATTCACTAACTTTACATTTTGCAGCTCAGAGATTGAGTTTATGCAGCGTTTCATGTCAGAGACAAGCTCGCCAGGAACCATCGCTCTGCATTCGCCTCTATGACTTTTCTACAAATGGCAGCTCCTTATGTCAGCGATCACCTGGCCAGGGACCATCGCTCTGCATTCACCTCTATGGCTTTTCTACAAGTGGCAGCTCCTTAGGTCAGCGATCACCTGGCCAGGGACCATCGCTCTTCATTCACCTCTATGGCTTTTCTACAAATGGCAGCTCCTTATGTCAGCGACAAGCTCGCCAGGAACCATCGCTCTGCATTCACCTCTATGGCTTCACCTGGCCAGGGACCATCGCTCTGCATTCACCTCTATGGCTTTTCTACAAGTGGCAGCTCCTTAGGTCAGCGATCACCTGGCCAGGGACCATCGCTCTTCATTCACCTCTATGGCTTTTCTACAAATGGCAGCTCCTTATGTCAGCAACAAGCTCGCCAGGAACCATCGCTCTGCATTCACCTCTATGGCTTTTCTACAAATTGCAGCTCCTTATGTCAGCGACTAGTTCGCCAGGAACCATCCCTATGCATTCACCTCTATGGCTTTGCTACAAATGGCAGCTCCTTATGTCAGCGACTAGCTCGCCAGGAACCATCGCTCTGCATTCACCTCTATGGCTTTGCTACAAATGGCAACGCCTTATGCCAGCGATAACCTCGCCTGGAACCATCACTCTGCATTCACCTCTATGGCTTTGCTACAAATGGCAACGCCTTATGCCAGCGATAACCTCGCCTGGAACCATCACTCTGCATTCACCTCTATGGCTTTGCTACAGATGGCAGCGCCTTATATCAGTGGCACGCTCGCCAGGAACCATTGCTCTACATTTACCTCTATGGCTTTGCTACAAATGGCAGCGCCTTATGCCAGCGACAAACTCGCCAGGAACCATCGCTCTGCATTCGCCCCTATGGCTTAGATTCATATCTTTGAAGGAAAGCGATATGTAGCATCCGTTGCCTACATAATAATTAAGCATTAGTTTCTCCTTCTTAGAATGTTAGCCTTCTGTCATGCTGATCCTCTGCCTTTAGACTTCCACTATCAGCAGACTTTTCCATGTGCTACCAGAAAAATGAGGCACCCTAAGAGTTAACTGATCTTCTTACAGGGCTTGCATTCAAATGAATCCATGACTAGTTCTTTTGCTCAGTTCTTGGGCCTTACAGTGTCGCAGCTTGCTCTCAGTTACAATGTCTCAAGTGTGTCAGACTCACACTAAGTTGGCTGTACAACATTATGGGCTACCTGTCTACCTCTAAGCTTGTTGGTTGCTTCACAATTTACATTTTAAACACAATAAAAAGTAGTTACATATATTAAAAGATACAACATAAGTTTAGTCACCTTAGTAGGCAAATATAGATTTAGGGTCTAGATCAGGGGTGGGCAAGCCCGGTCTTGCAGCTGCTGTGGAACTACAAGGCCCATGAGGCGTTGCAAGACTGGCAGTTACAGCCATGACTTACAAAGACAGAGGCATGTTAGGATTTGTAGTTAAAGCACATCTGGAGGGCCGGAGTTGCCCACTCCTGATCTAGATGGACATTTGTGGCACACTGATGGACCATGTGACATTGCACTACAAAGGCATTATAATATTGCTTACTCAGGGAAGGTGACAATGTCTATGAAAAGACTCCCCTGACCCACTGATACTTACCTCTCTAGCACTCTCCACTGCTCCAACCTCAGCTAGCTCAAAATACTCACTGTTTCTGGGTATGAGGGAGCAAGTGACCTCCTCCCATTTAACACTGCTCGGGTCTAGCGCTAATCATACATGACAGAGGGGGGGGACATCCCTCTGGGCTCCAACACAGGGTTATTTAGGTGCATCCTGTGTTGGAGGAAGGAGCAGTGGGTTATCGCTTAAAAGGCAAGTTTCAGTTGGTTGGAGGGGGGGCCTTTCCAAAGGCAATGTCACAATGGGCAAAGTGAAAATCTTTCCTTAGGTTTCATTCATAGCTACACAGTAGGTGCGTGTTAAGGGATTCCTGAGGCAGGAATCCCAAATATGCCATTTAGAAGTTAATGATTGGGTGACAGCGGCCGCATTTGAAAGTGGCAGTCGGCTGGCACTCTGCATGTAATCGAATGTGATACAAGTACATGTGGTTAGGAATAAATCACTGTCACACGTTTCCAGGGTCAGTGATCTATTCGGCTACCCCATCAATACATGAACTGGTGACATCTGTCGCTTCTAAACGGCATATTTGGTATTCCTGCTGTAGGATACTCTAAAACAGCCAGTCTCAACCATGGTGCTGTAGCACCCTAGGGTGTCTTCTGGCTTTGTCAGGGGTTCCTTTACATTTTTTGCACAGCGCCATGCATTCCCAAGGTGCAGGAGAGCCGGTGTTCTATCAAAGATTGTGACTGGGTTGGAATGTGTGACCAGTCACACATTTTAACGTAAACATGCCCACTTTTTCTGCGGTGGAATATATGACCGGCAAAAGGTGAAGAATTCCAACGCTTTCTCAGCTGTTCCAGGGCAGATCGGCATCGCAGATCGTATGTGCAGGAGAACCGATCTGCCCTGAAACATCTGATAGGTCCTGAAATGTCACTTTTATCCGACTGTGTGAGTGCGATCTCACATTCCACAAAGTCAGATAGAAGCGACATTTCAGGACCGATCAGCTGTTCCAGGGAAGATCGGTTCACCTGCACATTTAATCTGCGATTTCGATCTGCCCTGGAACAGCTGAGAAAGCTTTGGAATTCTTCCCCTTTTGCCGGTCACATATTCCACCGCCGAAAAAGTGGGCGTGATTACGTTAAAATGTGTGACCACGTGACCAGTCACACATTCCCATCCAGGATGTCCTTTCAGCATTCAGAAGAGGACAAAACTCCGCCTCTTTATAGACCTGCTCCAACTCCCGCTTTCCACCATGCTTCTGCAGCCACACTGTGCTGAAGATTGTAAGGTAGGACTCTGATGTTAAGGGGCAATGAGAACTGTAATATGAAGAGAGGTCCCCTGATGTGAAGGGGGGGACTGCAGTTTTTTATTGGGTTTTTTTTTTTGCATGGGGTCCTTCTAGGATAAGGATCTGGTATGGATTTTGGAGGTGCCCCACGTAATTTTTTTACATTTTAGCCTGGGGTGCCTAAAGATTTTGCATACTTTTAAAGGGTGCCGTGACTGGAAAAAGGTTGAGAAACACTGCTCTAAACGAAACCTACTATGTAGGTGTGAATGAAGCCTTAATGGGTCTGGAAACACAGAGTACACATAGCCAGATAAAGCTGCTTTTATATGGACCAATGTCTTAGTAGGTTTACTTATATGAAAACCACAAGAAACAATTTTTTCCCTCCACTTTGAACAGACGTCCTTACATGCCTTTTGCTTTCTGGGTGGTGATATCTCCCAGGCAGGCTTTGGCAGAGCCCAGGGCCACCAGCCATCTCTGCCTTTCAGCTGCACTCTCCGCACGCAAGTAAAAGCATTGCTCTCTTGGTATGAAAAGGTCCATCCGGCAGCTGTCAGCCTGGTGCACTGCAAGGGATGGAAATAGATTGTTTATACATAGCACGTGTGTACAATAAGACAACACACATAAAACAACAATATCTAATAAATAAGTGAGCTGATCTCACAACTCTCCTCTCTGTCATTTTAGCTGTCAAAATGTAATTTCTAACCTACTATATCATCACCAATTAATTACATTTCCTGCTTAGGGTAGTAATAGATCCAGAGCTTTCAGGGCCAGTTAGGTTCCTTCCTCACTCATAGGACAATGATATGTTCTTCTATCCAGAAGATGCAAGTACTTTAGTGATATACAAGCTTTCAGGACCAGTTCTTTCTTCAGCCATTATACATCCACATGTACTAGCAGACAGAGGAATCTAGTACTATACTGTAGTGATATACAAATCCATAATAAGAAAAGTAATACAAATCTGACCTTGGATTTCACACACAGCCATTTTAATGCTGCCTTTACTTCCTTTTCCAACGTCATCCTGTGAGTCATAGTAAGACAAGATGCCCCTGTCCAATACAAAATAACGTGGTTGCCAGCCTATGAAGAACAAAGACATAAATGTATGGGGAAAACATACAGTGATCATTCTTACACTGGCTACACATATTACTAGACATGTGCGATTCGTTTCGTTACGAATCGAAATTCGTACGAATTTTCCTGAAATTCCGAATTTCGGAGCATCCGAAATCCGAATGGCAGTTTCCGAATTATATCCGAAATACGAAATTCCGTTAACGAATTTCGGATCCGAATTTCTTTGAAACAGGAACTAATATTACCCCTGTAAATGAGGTTGAACAACATGACAAGATTTTTTTTTAATCCGAGATACGGATCCGCTGCTGCTGATGCATTACAATACACAGTTACACACACAGGCAGGAAATACGAAATTCCGTTGACGTATTTTCGTTCCATTACGAACATTCGTTATATTGAAGGTAAAAAGCAAAGTACATTTATATTGGAGTTGATGGTAGTTTTTTTTTTAAAGTCCGAAATACGGAATTCGGAATACGGAATCCGTTAACGGAATTCGTATTTCGTTTTGGTTGACCAATCAGAGGTTCTCTTCTGCTGCTGAGAGTTGCATTACAAATACAGGCAGTAAATACGAAATTCCGTTGACGTATTTTCGTTCCATTACGAACATTCGTTATATTGAAGGTAAAAAGCAAAGTACATTTATATTGGAGTTGATGGTAGTTGTTTTTAAAGTCCGAAATACGGAATTCGGAATCCGTTAACGGAATTAGTATTTCGGATAAAAAAAACAACTACCACTCCAATATTAACAAAGGTATTTTGCTTTTTAACTTCATCATAACGAATGTTCGTAAAGTTACGAAAATATAACCGCCACTAACGAAAATTCGTATGTCGTACGAATCCGAATTGAGTTCAGTTACAAATTACGAAATACGAAATAACGGATATTCCGAAAAGAAACAGAACAAATTTTTTGATGGCGCACAAGTCTACATATTACTATCTCACTGTACAATTTATGAAGATTTATCAGCAATTAAGCAGTGTGAGGGGCTGAAGATATGAAAACATTCCATTCAATGTATGTCCTAGTCCACCTGCTCTATTCTGTTATTTTGTTTTGACTCCTCCATATAAGTCTTCATTTCTTAAACACGTCCCCTCTGATCTCACCTTTCTCACACTTCAAACAAGTCATATAAAGATTTTGATTGCATGAATAATATTTACATATAAGACAAGTGTAAAAATAAGGTACCATCTTAGTCAAAGACCACTTTATTTGTTTAAACAAATGTCACATATGTATTACAAAAGTTTCTTTTATTAAAGGAGAACTATGAGGTGAGTCAAAAGCATAGTTCTAGCCGACCTGTGACAATGAGACTGTCACAGGTCGGCTCAGTAGATCGGGAGGTGAGCGAACACATTCCCCCCTCCCCGCTCCGATCTGCCAGCGCTGACTGGCAGAACGGACGGTGGCGGGTACAGCTGGCTCTGCCTCTAGATAGGCAGAGCCAGCTGTCAGTCACGCAGCTGGGCGGATCCCGGCATAATTGTCGGGATCCGCTTCAGCTGCGGCGTCTCAGTATACCGCGAGCAGCAGCTTGCAGTATACTGCGGCGTCTCAGTATACCGCAGCTCGCGGTATACTGAGCCTAGGGTAACGGGAGGACGCTAGTTTGTGTCCTCCCGTTACCCTAAGGAGAACTATGGGGAAAAGCCTTAACCCCATAGTTCTCCTTTAAAAAAAATGCTTATAAAAACATAATTGCGACCAATTGAAGTTCCATTAGGATGAACAACCCCACCAAAAAGAGGCAGGGGATGAAATAGTGTGACCCTAAGTCCTCTGTCACGTGTCTGCCCGCTCCCCCAATGATATATTGATCCAAATGGCATCATGTGGCACATTTTCAAAATGTTGTTTTCCTGAAGAAGGGATTGCCTGGTCCCAAAACGTCACTTTGCCTATGTGACCGTGTTCAGTCATTAAAGGAGATTGACTGCTATCTACAAACGGAGTGTGAGTGACTTTATGGTATTTTGCATCCTGTGGCACATGGCACTCTATGTGGACCTGTCAACTGATGATGGGTCTTACCCTGGAACACTTATCCAGCATGGTAATGTCTGAGAGGGCTTGAGCTATCCAATGTGCCCACCCACCTCTGTAGAAGTAGAATTCTGTTGAAGGAACCCCCTCTTGTATCTATATGCACCTGATCCAGGGCCACACACAATATACATGACTGATTGTACTGATGATAGAGAGCCACATGTATACCCGCTTGGGTATTCATATTATAGGAATAAGTATGATCATAGATTCTCCTCCACCATTAGGTGTGTTTAGTTTTTTAGAAAGCTCCACATTCACATATACATTAGGAAAATAACAGCTACCGTCTTCCAATCAAATAATATTTCGGAGTGAGGGGGCAACCATTCAGTAGAATAACATATTTGCAATAATTACAGGAACCATATTTAAATATCCCCCTTTATTGCAGTCTATGCCCCCCGCTGGGGAGACTCCCCCTCTCTGTCTGTTCCGGTGACCACTGTCATTGGGGCACAAAGTGATGGCGCATTTTCATAATGTTATAGTTGTCACCAAAACAGAAGGTGAGAGAAAATCTTGCTTTGGGGACACCAGCTCTGGTGGCAACTGTCTACACCACAACACCCTGGATTGCAACACATGGACTTTCGTGCACATTACTATTTCCCTGAATGATACATTGTGGATGACAGGCCTGCGGCTTTTGATCGACTTTGCTCTTGCTCTTCCATTGCAGGCAAAGCAGTTCAGACGCAGCCTTTTCCTGTGCATTGCATTCAAGACCATGTGTTCAAGCAGGGGGAAGGGGGTTATGAGGCATTTCTCTGATGCAATATTCCATTAAAAAAAATTAGAAATATATATTTTGAATGTTATTTTAGTCTTAAACCTAAGGAATAAAGAAAGTAAATATACACAAAAACAGTGTACATTCCCTTCCCTACACTGAGGCGTATGTGAAGTAGCTCTCCCCTAAAGTAAACACAGAGGCTTATCAAGCTGACCCGATGTGCATATTTGTATACTCCATGTACAGGTAAGGAAGCAATGCTGAGTTATTACTGCCAGGCCGTGTATTCAATGTATATATTCCTGCATGATATGAGGGCAATGAAAATTTCTAGATCCACAGGGAAGTATGTAGATATCCGCCTCATAAATGAATAGGATCCTGAAACCTGAACTCAGAAAGTGTTATATGGAACATCTAGAAATGGTAATTGTGGCTAAGCAGTGCCCCAAAATACTTACCTTTTGAATGGAATTCCTCCTAAAAAAAGAGCAGTGTACTTCCTGGTATATAAGGACGTCTAGTAGGGATGTGTGCCAGCTTGGCGCGAGCTGAGTTGACCCTAGTCCACGCAAAATGGTCAGTGACACATACCTTCATCCATGGCAAGGCAGGCAGAGGGCAAATGACTAGTCACAGGTAATGCCTGTGGTCTCCCTGCAGCTGATCATCTTTCACCAGTACTGATTTACCACCCCTTGTTCTGCACTGTGTCTCTGTGTGGTGGCGGCCATCTTGGTAGAGGCAGAACTTTGCTTCATGTCAGAGCTTCCAGCAAGGAGAACAGTGAACAGTACAGCAGTGACATCACCAACTCTTACTACAAATCTCCTATGATTAGCAGTCAGAGGCAGCAGTGCCTGAGATGTCACACTGCAGATATACAGCTACAAGGAAGTAGGCTTAGCAATGCCTAGGCATCCTCACGTGCCAGGAAGTGCACTCCTATTTTTCAGAAAAGAATGTAAGACAAAGTGGACATTTTTCTTTTGTCCATTCATAAAGTACATTCTCCCGTTCCTGTCAATGAAGATACAACCTGCGGGAGCCGTAGCATTGCACCTGCAATCCACTGATCACGGTTACAATTCTTTACTGCTTCCGATGCACAAAATAAGACATGTACATGTTAGAAATGTGTGTGCATTTTATCTGTAAAAGGTGGACTTTGCCTTTAATAGACCCATACAGGACTGGAAACTTCACAAAACGTTGTACTCTTGGTGCTAAAGACTGCTGAGGAGTAAAAATGAATCAATGCATCAATGCCAATGTCTAGTCTGCAATGACTGCACACAGCACTTCAGTCGGTTCGATCAATCTGAAATCCAACCTCCTCAACTGGGAACAAAATGTATTCCATAGTACAGAGTGAAAGGTAAACGCCACCTTGTACTCACACCTCAGTGGTCAAGCCTGTTCTTCTACATGTATCACGTGTCACAGTGCTCCCTCTGCCCCTTCCAATATTGATGTCATGTTTGACTACCAAAACTTCGACCTATCCTGGTTATATGGTGCACCAAGAAACACATATCCGAGCATTTGGCTGTATGCCCATGTACTAAATAGGCTCCTTATCTAAAGTCTCATTAAACCAGCGGTAGATAACTTTGGCACTCCAGCTGTGGTGAAACTACTATCCCATCATGCCTTGCATCTGGGAGTCATGCCTGTCAGAGTTTTCCAATGCCTTATGGGACTTGTAGTTTCACCACAGCTGGAGTGCCGAGGTTGCCTACCCCTGTATTACACCCTCCCAGGAGAAATGTAGCAGCATACCTTATGTTGATGCTCGTTTCCTGGACCCTTTTCTGTGTCCCCCCTCTGTCCGTAGCATAATTAGGTTTCTGCCTATAACAGAGGTGGGCAACTCCATCCGGCAAATCCCATCATGGCTCTGCCTCTGGGAGTCGTGCCTGTGGCTTGAGTCTTGCAATGCCTCGTGGGACTTGTAGTTCCACAACAGCTGGGGGGCCGGAGTTGCCCACCAGAGGCCTATAATGTTGGTTCTGTCGCCTTGCAGGTCTCCCTGGAGCCACCCTGACAGGTGCTCCTGGCCGGGGCCTTCTCATTACCTGTTGATCCTGCCAGTAGTTCCACTTTATGCTCACTTCCTTTAATAGGGTGACAATGCTGTTTGTTCTGCAGTAAATCCGTGCTGCAGTGTTGTCACCCTATGGATGGAGTCATCTTTCATAATCGTGTCTTTTAGGATCATGCGAGTAGAACTTTTCTATTTTTGACCTTAGACAAAAATGAGCACTAAAGCCTCAAATGTTTTTGCTTCATTACATTTTATAAATCTGTAGAGCACAGGAACAGATATGTAACCAGATATCCAGAAACACAATGTTCGCCTTCCTCTGGCTCAGCAGTGGGGTAATTGTGGGGCATAGCGTTCTGTTTAGGCTTTTCTTCTTTTTATATCTCTATAGGTTTTTTCAACCTGACTAACTATGTAACAGTGGTGGGAATTTATCAAAGCTGGAGCAGACACAATCTGGAGCAGTTACCACAGTAACCAATCAGCTTCTATCTTCAGTTTGTTCAGTTAAGACTTAAAAATGGAAGAGAGCAGCTGATTGGTTGCTATGGGCAACTGCTCCAGATTGTGTCTGCCCCAGGATTGATAAATACCCCTAATTTTATTTGTTCACCAGCACACTTCTGGGTTCTTGTGCACTGCTTTCCCTAGTCAGGCAGTGTGCACTCATCACGTCGGAGGCAGCCCCCCTGTTCCCACTTCATGGGACTACATGTCCCATAATTCCTCCCCCACCTGTGCCCTGTCAGTCCTCCTAGGCTGCCTGTGCATGTTGGTATAGTCATTGTCATAGCGTGGGCTTGGAGTCTCTCTCTCTCTCTCTGTGTAGGGAGCACACATGTAAGGGTGGCTCCATAGGACCCTGAAGGCAAAGAGCTGTCCTTACAATGGAAGTCAGCACCAGCAGTCAGGGGAAGAGTACAAAGGAGACCTATAAAAGGAAAGATTCATGAAATATCGGCATTGTCATTGGTCACATAAAAGGGACCCGGTCCTAACAAAACTAAAAATGATTTCTAGAACATTTCTTAGCAGGTGTCTTCCTGTGTTTCTGATGAGTGAGTGGTCACTCTGTTGCCAATGGAAATACTGCAGAATGTCACTCATGACAGCAAGGAGGCGACACCGGGTGAGTATGCGCTCTGCTATACATAGCGACCCTGTGACTGGCTAGTTGTCACCAGTGTGACGTAATCCTGAAAAGATGGCGGCAGTGTGTGTCAGACTTCACATGACATCTGATCATCTAAATGCCACGACAAGGCATCACCACCACTTTTCCTGCACCCTACTGAACTTATCAAACCTGGAGCAGTTGCCCATAGTAACCAAGCCGCTTTTCTCTTCAGTTTGTGCAGTTAAGCTTTGAAAATGAAAGCTAGAATCTGATTGGATACCATAGACAACTGCTCCAGATTCTGTCTGCTCCAGTCTCCATAAATTTCCCTCCCATAGTATTTTGCGAAGCTTTTAATCATAAATAGAGGCTCATCTGTCAATACAAAGCAAAGCCAGCATTTCCCTAGAACAGCTGCAGGCATGTGTTTACTAACCTGTATTCAGAAAGAACTACAAGTCCAAGCAAGCCCTAGCCCAGAGCACAATACTCCTAGGGCTGACACTCAGCTCTATACTGCTCTATGTACACAGCGTTAAGTATGGGCCCCCCTACATAGAGATTTGATGCTTCCAGTACCTGACAGGTAATTGGTCCATTTCATTAGCGATCCTTCCATGTCCCGCAGTATGATCAGCCTGCCACTGCTGGGAAATTATCAATCCGTAAAGGAGTGTGCCGCCACAGCCAATAGGAAATTAGGAGGCGTGGCTGCCGAAACCAGAAGCCAATAGAGCCCCTGAAAACGTACCGGGTGGAGTCTAGAACGAATGCTTAGACCTATCAGAAAATGAAATGAGCGCCGCGTGGATTAATGGGCGTGGTTTGCATTCCTGTTTCTACCACTGTGTGCCTCTACTGTGAAGAGGGGCCGTGTCGTCACCGTCCTTCCAATGTGTGGGCACTGCGGTTCTGACACTTTAAAAACAGACCCGGCTGTGATTGGCTGTTATGGCAATTGGAGGACAGGAGGTGCATGCTGGGATATGTAGTCTGATAAACTGCACCCGGGAAGACTTCTCACAGTCGCTGTCACTACAATTCCCGTCGAGCCATGGGTCTTGACGAGATTACCTCCCTGATTTCGGCTTCCCGCCCCAGCCATTGTCGCTGGAGAGCGGAGAGCAGGAGGGAATGAGTGAGCCGGAGGACTGTGACAACCAGACGTGCTCCGGGTGTCCCAGGTAGGCAGTGCAGCGTTCCCCGGAAGTGGGCGTGTCAGGATGGGAGAGCGGCACGGTGTACATGGCACCGGTGGAGTGCTGTACAAGTCAACTACTGCACCCTGCATGCCTACTACCATACGCTGCGCCTCATAGTGTGCACTGACCGGTGTCAGCACTGTACAGTCCTACTAGGGGGACTGACCCTGTGTACTGTCATCGGTGTACTATCCACCTCTGTGTACACTCCTCATCAGTGTCCTGTCCTCCCCTGTGTACACTTCTGTCATCAGTGTCCTGTCCTCCTCTGTGTACACATCTGTCCTCAGTGTCCTGTCCTCCCCTGTGTACACATCTGTCCTCAGTGTCCTGTCCTCCCCTGTGTACACATCTGTCCTCAGTGTCCTGTCCTCCCCTGTGTACACTTCTGTCATCAGTGTCCTGTCCTCCCCTGTGTACACTTCTGTCCTCAGTGTCCTGTCCTCCCCTGTGTACACATCTGTCCTCAGTGTCCTCCCCTGTGTACACATCTGTCATCAGTGTCCTCCCCTGTCTACACATCTGTCATCAGTGTCCTGTCCTCTGTATACACATCTGTCATCAGTGTCCTGTCCTCCCCTGTGTACACATCTGTCATCAGGGACCTCCCCTGTGTACACACTTGTCATCAGTGTCCTATCCTCTCTCTACTGTCATTGGTGTACTATCCACCTCTATGTACACACCTGTCATCGGTGTCCTGTCCTCCTCTGTGTACTGTCATTGGTGTGCTATCCTCCTTTGTTTACACACCTGTCAGCTTTGTGTCCTGTCCTCCTCTGTGTACACACCTGTCAGTGTTGTGTACTATCCTGTCACTGTGTTGTCACCCTGCTGAAGGAAGTGGATCTCCTGTCAGCGTCAAAGCCTCTTACAGCTTGGACTCGGATAACGTATGAATGCTATTTTATTACAAATGACAGACTGCATGGTATATGTAATGTTCTCCTCTGACATGGTTCAAGGGCCCATTCACACCTCATCCAGATCATCTCCAGACCAGACTGTTTCTGGACCCAAAATGCATCCGAATGTATCCCTGTGCTATTTCTGGCCTCTGTTCACACCAGTGCAGTCCATTCCAGACCAGAATAATACTGCATGTCCTATGTTGTCAGGTATAGAATGCACTGGAGCACAGGAACAAAGGCTTAAACTACTAAATGCACATGAAGCATTAGGACCTGATAATCTACACCCCAAGGAACTCAAGGAACTGAACAAGGAGATAACGAGACCATTGTTCCTCATTTTTAAGGAATCGATAATGACTGTGACAAGCGTCTGGCGAAAGGCTAATGTGGTTCCTATATTCAAAAAAGGGTCACAATGCCAACCGGAGAACTATAGACCAGTTAGTCTGACATGCATAGTATGTAAACTATTAGAGGGAATTATTAAGGATTACCTAGTGGAATTCGTCCGGGATCATGGCATAATAACTGATGTGCAGCACGGATTTAGGAAGGATCGTTGTTGCCAGACCAACCTGCTGACCTTTTAGGACGAGGTGAGTAAAGATCTGGATAGGGGGAGGCCGGCGGACGTAGTATATCTGGACTTTTCCAAAGCCTTTAATACGGTGCCACATAAACGCTTGTTATACAAGCTAAGGGGTATGGGCATAGATGAAATAGTGTGCACGTGGATAGAAAACTGGCTGAAGGAACGTGTACAAAGAGTATCAGGAAATGGCACCTTTTCAGACTGGGCGTAAGTCATGAGTGGCGTGCCTCAGGCTTTTGTGCTGGGCCCCATGCTCTTCAACCTATTTATTAATGATATCGGGGAGGGAGTGAGAAGTCATATCTCAGTGTTTGCTGATGATACTAAAATTGGGAGGGTAGTAGACACAGATTTAGACATTGTGACATTACAGGAGGACCTGGAGAAAATCGGGGACAGGGCAACTGTGTGGCAGATGAAGTTCAATGTCGATAAATGTAAGGTAATGCACCTTGGAGTTAAAAGTAGGCAAATTTACCATACACCTATGGGTATGCAACTAGGAAAGTCGGAAACGGAGAAGGATTTGGGGGTCATTATAGACCGCAGAATGAAGAATAGCTTGCAGTGCCAGGCTGCTGTAAACAAAGCAAGCAGAGTCCTGTCTTGCCTTAAGAAGGGAATGTATTGCAGGGACAAATCTATAATTTTACCACTTTACAGATCGCTGGTTCGGCCACATCTGGAGTACGCGGTCCAGTTTTGGTCAACGATACTCAGAAAGGATGTCCTTGAGCTGGAAAAAGTCCAGAGGAGGGCAACCAAACTTATTAAGGGGTTCGAGGACCTGAAATATGAAACAAGGTTGTTAAAATTAAATATGTTCTCTTTGGAGGTTAGGAGATTAAGGGGGGGACATGATCTTCTTGTATAAACTATTTAAGGGGGACAGCAACCTCAGTAACAAACTGTTTACGGTCAGCTCCGTAACAAAGACCAGAGGGCACAACCAAAAATTGGTGGAAAAAAAATTTCAACACACAGGGTGCAAGGGGTTCTTCACAGTTAGAGCGGTTAAGGTCTGGAACTCGCTGCCGCAGGAAGTGATCTTGGCTAAGAGTGTGGAATCATTCAAGAAACTGCTGGACGAGTTCCTCGGAGACCATAACATACAGGGGGTACAGGTACGCCTAAGAGCAAAATCCCACATGGACTAATACACACACCTGCTCAAACATAAATGCATACACACAATAGGTTGGACTTGATGGACTTATGTCTTTATTCAACCTCAAATACTATGTAGCTATGCATCAAAAATGCATGCAAACGCACTGGAATGCATCAAAAATGCATGCAAACGCACCTGAAAGCCCATTTTGAGCTAAATAAAAAGCTCCGGAATGCAGCAAAATCATGGCAAAACGCAATCCCCTGCATTCCAGATCTGGTCCGGGAAATGGTGTGAACCTGCCCTTACAGTAAAGAACAAATGGCTGACTGCTTTAGGACCGGAGTGGGTTTGCTGCAGAGACTTCCATTTATTGCCTGATGTATCCCAGTGTCAGTACTAAGAATACCAGTCTGAAAGTTTGAACCTCAACTCTAGTTCAGGCTTCTTTGTGGCCTGCAGTCCAGAGAGTTTACAGATGTACTGTATATACAGTATCAGTGCTCATGCTTTCTTTGCCATCATGTGAATACTGAACATCATTTGTTTTCCTTCCTTTTCATATAGTGTAGAACAGATGCTGGCGTCGAGTCCCGGGAAGACCCCTATCAGCTTGCTTCAAGAGTATGGGACTCGGGTAGGAAAGACCCCCGTGTATGACCTGCTCAAAGCTGAGGGACAAGCACATCAACCCAACTTTACCTTCCGTGTATCTGTTGGAGACATCAACTGCACTGGTCAGTCCTATTCATCCTCCATTGTTAGAGGTGAAAAGCCTTGCATCTCTCATCCATTGCATTACTTTCAATTAAACCTGCTCTAGCCTAAAACACACAACAGTGCTGAAGTCTGGGCACCTTGTGGTACATGGAAGTACCGTATTTTGCGGTCCATAAGACGCACCGGACCATAGGACGCAGGGTGGTCCGGCGCGCCTTATGGAGCACTCGACAGACTGTAGCTTCTGTCACAGCTTCTATGACAGAAGCTGTGACAGAAGCTGCAGTTAGTGACCGCTGAGACAGGTGGCGCTGTGATTACAGCGCCACGGTCTCGGTGATCACACAGAGCAGACGAAGAATGTCCGTTCTTCGTCTGCTCTATGGTGATCTCGATCGTCGCCGGTGCTCGGTTTTAATACGAGTGATCTCATTAGATCACTCGTATTAAACAAGCAGTGGCTCCTACTGCTGAACTCGATCGCCGCCGCCGCTGCTGCTCGGCTTTAATACGAGTGATCTCATTAGATCACTCGTATTAAACGAGCAGTGGCTCCTACTACTCGCCCGGCGCCCGAAACTGCATGTCTCGGGCGTCGGGATTCGCTCCATAAGACGCAGGCACATTTTCTCCCTCCTTTTGGGGGGAAAAAAGTGCGTCTTATTTAGCGAAAAATACGGTACCTGTGTTTGTTTTCCAATCCAACCCTGTGTCCTTGTAGACAATAGGCGCAGGCTGTACACAGGGCCCTGACTTCTGCTCTAGTTGAGAATAAGCCCCGTCCCCAATCATAGAGCTGTCAAAAGAGCCTCAAAGGGAACAATTGGATGTTTGTAGATGTTATGAGATCATTGCGGACACCCTGTACACAACCAGTATCAGGAGAAGAGAAAAGGATGGTGTGAAATAGATTGATTTCTTCGGCTGATCACTATTGTTTCCTTAAAGCTAATCTCTGTGCTAGTTATTCATTGTCGCATATACTTCCTTTTCCTGTACACAAGTTAAACATGCTATTGGAATTGTGTGAATGGGGGGGGGGGTCCTATCACTAGCTTACAAATTGTTGAGTGCGTTTGTCGTTTGTTTTGCTTTACCGATTTGGTGCAGCGACGCATGGGGTTTCTCAGCTGCCAATGGGATGTGCGGGATCCCTTGTGTGTCTCTGTACCTTTAAGGAGGTGGGGCGTCCTCCTGACAGGCCTGCACCCAATTTGATATCTTCTGCCCCCATGTGCTCCAAGATGGAGACTCTCATAGTTTAGAGTTAGGACCGCACTATAAGAGGTGCCTTGGCGCGGCAGTGTGGCTTACACATCCTTTGCAGAAGACGTGTATCCAAACCTCTGTCATTGTCCTTAGTGTTGAGACAAGTTGTTTTACATGCTGGTTTGTGAGTGTGCCATGATGCCTTTCTACTGTACCACTATCACTAGCTTAGCCTTATGTCCATCAAATAAGGCTAAGCTAGTGAACGGGTCCTACCAGGATTCTGCAACTCCCGGGGGCCACCCAGTACAGTGACCTATTAGAAGGTAACTATAGAGGGCTATATTACAAGACAGGCGGCCAGCAGTTCCAATTGCCATCTCATATCTGTAATTATCATTACCTATATCTTGTAGGGAATTGCTGAATGATGATGAAGTCATATCTCTCTAGCTTTTTAGTGTATGTCAAACAGTGCTTCACCTTGTTAGAAATCATAGGTGTTGGCCTTCAAGTACTCTTATATAAGTGTGCTAGACTCGGTTAATATGCAAGTGTTAATAATAGTGACTATTCAGGTCATGTTTATCACACCCCTTTTGATTGCATATTCAGCATAATAACACCCTTGTTCCAGTTTTGAAATTGTATTGGTTTATTAAGTGTCTCCAGAAGCATGACAGCAGGGTAGTATGTCATATAAATAAAGACTTTTGCATAATCTGTGGCCACTTTGCTTGCCTTGTTAGGGCACAATATAGGCTAATCTGTGGCCACTTTACTTGCCTTGTTAGGGCACAATATAGGCTAATCTGTGGCCACTTTGCTTGCCTTGTTAGGTAACAATATAGGCTAATCTGCGGCCACTTTGCTTGCCTTGTTAGGTAACAATATAGGCTAATCTGTGGCCACTTTGCTTGCCTTGTTAGGGCACAATATAGGCTAATCTGTGGCCACTTTACTTGCCTTGTTAGGGCACAATATAGGCTAATCTGCGGCCACTTTGCTTGCCTTGTTAGGTAACAATATAGGCTAATCTGTGGCCACTTTGCTTGCCTTCTTAGGGCACAATATAGGCTAATATGTGGCCACTTTGCTTGCCTTGTTAGGGCACAATATAGGCTAATCTGTGGCCACTTTGCTTGCCTTGTTCTTTACGCAAGCAAGTGATCGTAAACCACACATGCAACTGTCTGGGGAAGAATAAGCTTTCAGTTATGAATATGACATTTACACATGTATGTCTAGATCAGCCTTTCTCAACCAGGGTGACTTCTGTCTTCCACAGGGATGCCTAAAAATATTCGCACAGTGTCATACCTTTCTATGGTCTTCTGATCTGGTCTTCGTCACCAGCAGCATGGAAACGAATGATGCTAACTGAGGGGGGGTGGGATGCATTCAGAAAAGGACAGACGTTTGCCTCCGTCCAGTCCTGCTCCATCTCCCGCTCTCTGCCCTGCAGCTGCGGCTCCTGTGGTATGATAGTAGGTGAAATAGAGGGACTTGTAATGCAAAGGGGGAGGGGGTGGGGGGGTCTCTGATGTACAAGGAGGGGGCTATGAGTTTTTTTTATAGGGATGCACAGAAATGAAAATTTAGACCTAAACTGAAATTTAAAAACTTGGCTGAAGCCAAAAATTATTATTTTTTTTAGGGCTGGTAATGATTAAAATTTTCTTGTTCGATTAATCGATATTTTTTTTAATCGATTAACTTCGATTAATTATAACGCACATACAGATCCAACTACATTAGCCTATACACATACAGCACGGCATTGAAGTAATAAAATAAACCAGGATCATGCTAATCCAGCATGTTATTAATCTCACGTGCCCCACTCAATATGGCCCCAGCACACCAATCCTTTTAAGATAGCAAAAGCTTAATTTTTTGAGGTTTTTTGTCATATGACCAAAAATGAAGCTTTTGCTATCTTAAAAGGATTGGTGTGCTGGTGACATTTCTACAATTGCTGACATTCACGGCGCCTTCCGCGGTCACTGCGAGCACCCACCACTACAAGGCACATATCGGTAAGGAGTGCGACAAGGATAGTACTTATCCACTCAATATGGCCGCCGCTTGAGTGGGGCAACTCAGAATAATAACGTGCTGGATTACCGTGATCCTAGTTCATTTTATTACTTCATTGCTGTGCTGTATGTGTATAGGCCAATGCCTTGGAGTTTGGTCCACACTTGTGGGCACACTGGCCAGCTGGGAAGATTGTAGAAGAAAGGTTCGATGTCAATTGGCAAGCTGCACAGTGATGTTCCCTTTACATGTAAGTATAACCTATTAAACAGAACAAGTTTCTTGGGCAAACTCACCGGCTCAAGTGGCTCCGTCGGCTAACGAAGGGAGGGGGGAGGAGTCGGGTGACCCGGAGTCCTCCCCCCTAACCTTTGTTAGCCGTCACGGACATCAACGTCACCGGACTCCTCCCCCTTTCCCTTCGTTAGCCGACGCAGCCACTTCGGGAAGGGGGGAGGAGTCCGGTGACGTCGATGTCCGTGTCACTGGATCTCCGACGGGACTCCCGGAAATTTTATTATTAATTTTTTTTACTTTACTGTTGGGTGCTTTGGGGAAATATTAGGGGTCTAAACAGACACCTGATATTTCCCTTTTTAAAATAGAAAAAGAGATTGAGTCCTCAATGTCTTTCTGCAGCCCCAGCACTCCATGAACAGGAAACCGCTCAGTAAAGAGGCTTCCTGTCCATTCATGACTGGGTTGATGGTAAATATTTTCTAATAACTCATTCATGAATGGACAGGAAGCCTCTGTACTGAACTGTTTCCTGTCCATTCATAAAGTGAGCATATAGTAAATATTTACTATGTCCCTATTCATAAATGAAAGGGAAGTGATGTTTATTCATAACTAGGGATATGGTAAGTTTACTATGTTCTCAGTGATCAGTGTTGGTAAATAACTGAGTGTTTGTGCTCCCCTCTCCATCCTGACCGATTTGCCTGTCACAGGAGCTGAGCTCTACTCCTAGCACCGCTCAGCCTCCTGACGGCTGTCTGCTCCCTGATGGATGACTGCAGCTGGATCAGCTCGGATTCTTGCTGCCGACACAGGCGGGATTTGAGGGGACACAGATCACAGGCGGGATTTGAGGGGACACAGATCATAGCTTGCAGACGGTGCCCAGTGGGCAGGAGAGAAGCTAGGGATGCACAGTTGAAAAAGTTGTCAACTTTTTCAATAATCGATTAATCGGCTTCCGATCAGTTGGCCCTGTTCACGGCTCCACACACGCTGCGCGCCGCACCTCTTCCCCACCTCACGCTCTCCGCTGCCAGACCCGCCCACCCGCATCCACGCCGCACCTCCTCATTTTTTTAATTGTTTATCCGATTAACCGATTAATCGAACTTAATAATCGGCTAACTAATCGATTTTGAAAATAATCGTTAGCTGCAGCTCTAGTTCAGACCAGTGCGTTGCATTGATGAGCGATGCCCTGCGCTGAAAAAAAAAGGAGAGCAACATAACTTGTGTTTAACGAGTGTCTGCAATGCTCATCAAAGCAAGGCAGAATCAATACTTTTATATAGCTTAGTGTAAAAATCAAACAAAAGAAAAATGCAAGGCTTGTCAGCGTTCTATGCCAGTGAATGCACTTGTGCTAAGTCACATTCAACGCACACATTTAGCTGTAAATGCAATGTTTTCATCAGTTCTCGCCTAAACACATGATTATAACAAGGGTTGCCGTACATCATGCCCTCTGGGAGCTTGATTATGTTGCTGCTTATTTTTGTACGGTAGCTGAGTGAATGTTTACAGAGAAGTCCTGGAGGTGTGACATGTCAACTCTGCTCAGGAATCAAATCCAAAGCGCAGGGCACTTGAGCTAATAGTTTCTTATATTTCTCCTCTGTTCTTCTAGGTCAAGGACCCAGCAAGAAGGCAGCCAAGCACAAAGCAGCAGAAGTGGCTCTCTCTCTTCTCAAGGCTTCTGATATGTTCGAGATTTGTGAAGATAACAGGTGAGGAGTCTCCTGCCTGTGTTGGAGACACTGGTCCAATGTACTGATGATTGCTTGGAAAGTGTGCATGATGCCCTCACCTCTGTGTTGTGTCTCAAATATACCTTTTAATACAGATGACAGTTCATCAGCTTTTTTGAATACGGCTGATTGGATATTTATGAGAAATCCCATTGATAAACTCTGCAATGATATAGTTCATTAAGAAGTAAACACTTCTATGTTATACTATTGACATTTCCCCTGGTATATCTCCTCTAAAGCAGTGGTTCTCAACCTGTGTAACCTCAGGACCCACATTTGTCCTTGGTCATTAAGTCGCGACCCAAAAATAGTTTCACATTCGCAGTGATACCTAACCTGTATGGCACAATCGTCCTTTAAGTACACACGCATAAGACCCACTTTTGGGTCGCGACCCATGAGTTGAGAACCACTGCTCTAAAGCCTCTTGATTGTTAAAGTGATTGTAAATGCATTAACCAAATTTAACCCCAAACTCTTCCCCCTTTGTATCATGTTCCTACGTTATTACCTTTTTCCTTGTTTCTGTAGCGAGAAACCGCTTTTACTACTCTCTGTGACATCACCAGACTTGTAAAGGTCTTGCAGGGAGCAGCTACTGGAAGATCAGTTTCTATTGTTGTAGGCACGCCCCCAGAGCTACATCTCCCAAGAACCCTTTCACTACACAGTGTGTTGACAGGCAATCAGGGCAGCAGCATTATTTTGCTGGAAAATAAAAATCAACGCATGCATTAGGACTTGGATAGAGAAGGAGTGAAGACACGTGGAGTGCTGTAGACTAGCAGGTAGGGCTGACAATGCTGGTTGGGATTTCGGTCCAGCAATTTCTGGTGGATCAACGGGTATCTTTTTGTACTTGCAGCAATTTTAAAGGGACAAAACATGGGGAAGTGTGCATGTTGCATCCTTTTTTGTGTTTTGCTTTTCCATAATGCTGTGTAGGCAGTATGAACACAGCATTTCCAGAATTAGAGCTAATCAGAGACCTACTTTATCAAAATGTTGACAGCTTCTAACCAGCAAAAAAACAACTAAGAACCCAACAGTGCTAATTGTTTCTGCTAGTTACTGGTGTGTAAATGGTAATTTAGCATTCTATAATGACATTAGAACACTCTGTGCTGTTAGTAAGCTAGAGTTGAGGTTAAAGCAGTGTTACCATATTGGCTTCCAGACATGCTGAGAACAACTGGATCCATTATTTGTAATATATCCTGTTCTAGATCACTTTAATTAAAAATACACTATATACAGTACTATAACTCTGGCACTTCCATATAATCCAAGACATCCCATTCCATCTGGACTTAGGTCTGCCTGTCATCCAGCCTCCACTGAGCTCCATATACAGCCTATAAATCCACTAGGAGTTACAGATGTAACTCTAGTTTAACTGTGTGTTCACCTTTTCAATGCTGTCATTAGATCTTAGTAACATTGATTGGGTAACTACATGGACAGCCTAAAAAAAGCTGTTTGATCAGTTTCTGATATAAATGTTAGGACCATGTCGATGGGCTTGTGTTGATGGCATCAGTTTGAGATGCTTGTGAGATATATTTGATCTGCAGTTGATCTTCATAGACAAAAGCCCGCCACAAGCCATTAGACTGGCCACAAAAGGGCTCACTATCCACACGACAAGGCCGCTAGTCCTTGAAGCAGTAGAATAGAATAGTTAATGTGTTATGATGAATGTTTTCACACTCCATGGATATTGACATTGATTTAATGCTCTGGTCTCTTAATGTTAGAGAATACAGGCCCCTAATTACTGAAACGGTACATTGGTTATGTAACTTTGTCAACTTTTAACATTCCACCAAGGTTGACATGCCAGGTTGTGGCTTATATATGAACATGTGTGTTTGCATAAACAGACACACTTCATAGAATCCCCTTGCACTCCTGACCGGATAAAACCCCAAATATCGGTTGGGTGCTGTAATGACTGCGGGTGCCACCGCAAATTCAAGAAATAATCACCAGTGCACAGCGAATTCTGTCAATTCTTTATTGACAAAAGAAAGGTATGTCACAATTTTGGTCCCTTCTTCAGGCAAACTGAGTGATACAAAATACCATCGAGAACAAACCTATATACAAGAGTAAATGTGCAACCAACCAATCAGAAAAGTACCTTCCTCCCCCTCTGACATCATCATCATGTCATATTCCTGCCATTTTATATAAAAACAATATTGCTCTTTGCTGCTAGAACATCAACACAATCTGCAAAGAACAATGCATATCAAATCTGTACCCTGGCATGTTGTACGTTGCTGCCCCTTTAAGATCCTAATGCTGCCTCTATGCTGTGTCTCATCCGTGACTGGGCTGTCAGATGAATTCTCAGAGATATTTTGTAACACAGCCGGCCCGCAGCTCCACAACACAGTGAGTTGCTGCCGGCTCTGTGGTTGCCACGGCTCTGTGATCACAGCGATCAGCTATCTACTGTTGAGGATCTGCCTCGGACCCTGAGGGACCCATCAACAGCTGTAACTCAATGATCGCTGGTCCCTCCACAGACAAACACTCACTGTACCGCATGATGGGGTTATCCCGTCACCGGTCGTTAATTAACTGAACGAGCGCGACGGTATAATCCTGTCGTTGTGAAGGGGTTAAATACTAGGTTGCAAGGAGGGTTTTCTCTTAGTCAGCCCTAAAAATTAGCACAGTTGTATAAGTTATGGTGTTGTATGGTGTTGAAACTCAACATTTTCCATTTTTATCTAGCTTTATGATCAGTGTTTATATTAGGGTTGAAGAGTAAGTGTGTGCAAGAGTATTATTCATTTTATTATATTATAAAATGTTGTTGTTATTATTATTACTAGTGCTACTATAACTTTTATCCCCACCACTGCTCTATAGTAGTGTACTGACTGTGCTGTCAGCTCTCCTACTGCCTGTCCTTGATAAAATCTTCTTGTTAAAGTCAATGACACGTATTGTCACAGTTGACACTACAGAGAGAGTTAGCTGGGGGGCTCCAAAGTTTTGATATGGGGCCCCATGATTTGTAGTTATGCCCCTCGACTGATATACTGGTTCCTAGTACAAGGAGACTGTACAGACTTCTACGTGAAATAGAGTTGTGTTCCTTTGAAGCCCTGGTGGATCAAAGGGAGGTATCAAAGTACTACGTGTGCTCTGTAGTCACTATTGGGTGATAATCGTGGATGAATGTTCCTGTGTGTAGACCCCTTGGTCAAGCACAAGCTGGTGTTTCTTTGCTTCCCTGTCTATGACTCCCGGGCACACATCTGCCCTTCTCTGGACAGCTATATAAAATCTCAACATATTGGCAGACGATTCACACTATAATGAACGTTGAGTTTTACAACAAGAGGACTTTTTAAAAGCGAGCTGTTGCTGAAATCACCAAATCCAGACCTCCGCCAGTTATGATCAATCAAGACCAGACAACCTCCAAGATGTTTAGTTTTTACTCTTGTGATGGTAGAGTAGCTAATATGCATTCCAGGGCCTGGAACACTGAAAATGTATGTGACCCCCAGGGAGGGAATCGGCAAATGAAGCTGTAATTTTCCTTCTTTGTTCCCATCTGCTTAGACATGACATTCTGAATAGGACAGGTGATCACACCCTGATCTGCTTTTGTGTCCCTTACAAGCAGAGGTACCCCATACATTGTAAACTTACAAAAAAAAACATGGTTATCTAACCAGCTCTGATTCACACCATGCTCAGCAGAGCTGTTTTTCCCCATTGGTTGGCCAAAATGTTCCCCTATCTTCACTTATAAGGTCTTTGCAAAATCTTTGTGACTCTTTTAAAGATGGCAGCTTGTGTTCCATTTTTGGATGTGTTTTGTCCATTTTAAAGTATACCTTTCAGCAGCTTACCAAACTAAAAATAGTGTCTAAACCATTGCTGTTCCTCACTGAACGTAGGGTTGCCACCTTTTCTTCATGCCAAACCCGAACACTATAGCGTTTCGCTGCAATTTATTTGTACAGTATACACTATGCATGTATTTTGTAAATAAATTACATTGGAGTTAATCAAAACTTGCCAGTGTGCCGCAGGTCCCCAGATATGCATTCTGTAGATAAGTGTACAAAGCAGTACCCATATACCTTGCCGCACTTCTTACCAGATATACCAAAAGTAACGGGTGCCGGTAATGACTGCGGATGGCGCACTGAACGTCAAATATTGACAAGTCTTTCTAAACTGACAAAAAAGCTCTTGCTGTCCCCTCACTCTTCCTCCTACGAGTGGTGAAATCTTGGAATATTTTGCATAATTATGTATCAGTTAAGCGTTAAAGCCTTAAAATACAAGCAGAATTTTTGGCAGCCTCAACAAGCAAACCGGCACTCTCGTGCGTCATCCTGATTAAGGAGGATATATTCTTCTGCTCTGTCTCTGCCTGGTCTTATGATGGTATGACTGACACCAGGTGTTTGTACCACGAGGCCAGATTGGCAGAGTTCTATATTGGGGATGAAAATTGCTTAGATTTAATCATATGCAGAAACAGACCAAGCAATCTGAGCAAGGTAAGTTCTTTTACATAGTTGATCTTATGTTTCCACTGGTCATTGTAAGGGTGACATTGCTTTCGGTGAAGGTGTGTGTGGTTTGTCTGCTTCCATACACCCTCTGAGCTGGCTAAATACTTTACAGTTTGTACATTTTTCTATTGTACAATTTTATATTTACCAACAACTATATAGCGCAAGGACCCTCACAACTGTCCATTCAATCTGTATCCAATCAGGCAGACCCTTGCTCTAATTAGATTGTACAATCCGATAGCAATGTGTGTGTAACCAGCTTAACACCGATCCACAAGTTGGTGCCAAACACTTACTGGGCCCCTTTCCTGATCTTTCCTTTGCTTTGGTGTTAGAGATACCCCATAGCTTACCATGGGACTTACTGCGCAGTAAAATGAGATGGACATGCACACCAAAGGGTTACATAGCGACATGAAGGGACATGATGAGTAATATTTATACTCTTCACTGAATAGTAGTTAGTGGAGTGACCCTTTAAGGGTGGCCAAACTTTAGCCCTCTAGCTGTGGTGAAACCACAAATCCCATCATGCATCTGCCTTTGGAAGCCATGCCTGTGGCTGTCAGGGTCTCGCAATGCCTCTAGTTTTCACCACAGCTGGAGGGACGAAGTTTAGCAACCCCTGCTTTAAGGCATATAGTCCTCCTGTGGCCTGTATGTATACCTCATTGTGTTAATGCAGTAACATTTAAAAGTTGAAAGCGAATCACGCTCATAATGCAAACTACTAACTGGGAATAACATAGTAACGTAGTATTTGAGGTTGAATAAAGACATAAGTCCATCAAGTCCAACCTGTTTGTGTGTGTGTGTGTGTGTGTGTGTGTATAGGTCCATGAGTGTTCTCATTCTTAAGAGTACCTGTACCCTTGTACATTTCAGTCTCTCAGGAAGTCGTCCAAAAGCCTCTTGAATGATTCCATATTCATTGCGGAAATTACCGCTTGAAGCTGTGAGTTCCAGACCCTAACCAAGCGAACTGAGAAGAACCCCCTTCGCACCTTGTGTTCAAATTTTTTTTCTACCAGTTTTAGGTGGTGTCATCCCTCCTGAGTGTATACTGAGGAGTCTAACACTTTTTTTTTCTGTCTCCTCTACAGTGAGGTGTTTTCAGAGGAACCACCGGCAGAACCACGGATAAAACCAGACCCGTCTCCACCTCCTCCACCCACCAGGTAAATCTTAAAATAATATGTTTACCAGAGCAAAGACAGAAAAGATACAACATCCAATATTATTTATCTCATGTGTGACATTCCTTGTCCAGATTGCCTGGAAAAAAATAAGTGTGATTAGTCCTGTACTCTAAATATAACACATTATGCAAATTGCTAGCACATTTCTGTCGGAGTGTTACGTGTCATCATTTATTTATAAAGCTCAAGATGTGTTGTTCAGCTCTGTACAGTTGGTTTGCTTGTTTAGAATTACAATCAGTTGTACTTGCATCAAATATGATATCTGCAAATGAGGGCTTTTTTCTAAGGAAACATGAGGCGTTAGGACAAGCAGCAGAGGGCGGGTGCAATAGCCAGCTTGCTATTGGGTATTGCAAATTGAAATAGCCAATAGGAATCTAGCTATGCATTCCTATGCTGTTTTTTTCTGACTGACGGCAGCCCCGATGTCGGGGGAGGGGGGGGGACCAGAGCAGGGAAAGGTTTACTCTGCTCGATCGAGCAGAGTAAACCTTTCAGGGAGAAAGTGTTCCCGGGCGGGCGAGGGCTGCTATCTAACGGTAGCAAAATGATAGCGGTGAAGGAGCAACGAAAATAATTTTACTGTTAGGGGTCGCCACAACTTGGGCAATTTTATCAAAGGGATGACATGTCAAGTCAAACTGAATTGGGGGACAAATATAAATACTACATATGTATGCTTGCACAGTTGAAATAAACTTGGATTGAATATTAAAATGAATCGATGGCCAAATTATTTTCTCCGCATCACAGAGCATATATATTTTTTTAAAGCACAACCGCACTGAGAGAAAAATAACTTTTAAATTGGACATTTCCCAGCTGGCTAATAGACCTTCTTCCTGCAGTGTGCAATGCCCCATCGACACCCTGATTGCCATCTGCACTTTTTAAAGAACAAGTTCCCTTGTAGTAAAATCTACATTAGCCCTCCATCTCTAGCCTCTTAAAATGAATGAACCCAGAAACCCCCCAGCTCCATGATTACTTCAGCAAATAAGTGCTGGTCACATGCATGCATTGACCTTAGCAAATGTCAGAAAAAGGCATGTCTGCGTTAGGCACTTATGTATGTTCTTCAGAATATTAGAATCTGATTGGTCTGATGCTGTGAGCATACAAACATTTCTACATTTTAAACTGGAAATCAGCAGGAGAATGATGGTTTTAAAGTTTCCTGCTGTGGTCAGTCCAAACAGGTTTGTAGAATGTAATTTTAATTTGTTTTTGTTCCCCCTCTATTTAGAAATCACACCATTGACATGAAGCCCCCTCTATCTGCACAGCAGTCGGAATGTAACCCTGTGGGGGCGCTGCAGGTAACACATTTTATTTTGACTATGGATTATTTCTGCTGTTTTTTCATGTTCACACTTTAATCTCTTAATCTCTTCTGCATGACAGCATCTGAGCCGACCTAACTGGAAAAGGTACTAACCGTTAATTGAGGTCTTACCCAGTGCTGCTCATTGGAAATAGATTGTAATTCAGCGCAGGTAGTTTGCAAAACAAATTTAAATACAGTACTAAATAAAAATAATGTTCTGAATTGTCCAAATACTCAGAAACTGTACTGTGCAAACATCAAGTCCAAATAAGAGAACAAAGACTTCGTCCAAAATGGAAAGGGGGTGTATATACAATTTTCTTCCACAATGTGAATAGAGTTCTTTCCATGCAAATGGTGCCAAACCAAAGTGCTCTTCAACACCTCTGTGTAAAAACAAAATACACTCCCCACATGTGTAGGACCCCTTAATAAGAAGAAGGTCTAAAGCACTTGTGAAAGACCGGTAATGAACCTCCCAGAGTACATAGAACCCTCAGGCAATGGTGGTATACAAATCCTTCCTTCTCACACCTCATAAACCCAGCATCAAGAGACAGAAGAAAAGAGATGCTTGCATCACAGGAATGTATCTTTATTGAATAATATCACCAGCCTAAAAGAATTATGCCCATTTGCCATGATTAGCCCCCCATGTATATAATATATAGGACTGTATATGATGCACTGATACCATTTTGTTCACTACAAAGTAAGAGTACCGATACTTTTCTTCAAGTAATCGCTGATGCCAATTACCAATTCTTCTTCTTCTCCCTTGTCCCTTCCTCCTTCCTTATTTCTTCTTCCCTTTTTTTTTTTTTAGTCCTGTGACAGTTTTTCTAAAACAATACAGACTAATTACTTTAGAACAGTGGTGGAGTGCCAGGGCCTGGTCACAGCTGCAAATGCTGTGCTCTGGTAGTTCTAGGAAGGAGGAGGAGATCCGGGGGGCAGCGCATGTTTAATGCTAATAGCATTGGCCATATTTGTGGGAGGAGTCTGAGTCTCGTAGTGCTATTTAGGGGGGGGACTCACCCGCAGTGGAATCTCCGGCATCGCGGGTACGGGTGCTGCTGATACGCGTCACTTCCGGGTTCGCACGCTGCCGGTTGTTTAATTTTTCGAACAGCGGTGTCTCAGCGTTCTGGCTACACGGCGTTCAGCGGTCGGAAGTTCGGTGGCATTCGTATCAGAGGCACTATCTTCATGCACAGGTCTAAGCTGATTTCATGAGAGGCACAGGTTGTCCATAATTTTCAGCATTGAATTGGTAGGAGAAGGTTCGGCTTGCTGCAAGCTACCATGCTGTCAGGATCAATATTCTCATAGGGGTTGTTGCTCCTGGATAAAAATAAATAAATAATTTTTACATGCTGACGAACTCGGTATCTTCCTTAGGGGTCATTCTATCAAGGAGCATCAGATCAGAGGTACGTTTTCATGTTTTGAAGGGGCACGCATGCATCAGCACTTCACGTTTATCATAAGTTTTGTTCAGGCCGCTGGACTTCAGGTGCAGACACACATGGGTCATTCCTACAGGCATAACGCATTTGCCATGTAAGTTAGGTTCAGGCTGCTGGACTTCAGGTGCATACACTCTGGGGTTTTTTCATACATGCACAACGCATTTGCCATGTAAGTTTGCTTCAAGCCTCTGGACTTCAGGTGCAGGCACACATAGGATATTATATGCACAACACACTTGCATCAAGTTTGGTTCAGGCCGCTGGACTGTAGGAATTGTATGGGCATACAGGCTGAGACATTGTCACGACGCACGCTGCGTACGACCGGTTTGGTTCAAGCCGCTGGACTGTGTGGGTGTTTGGGTTCACATGCACGGTGGTTTTCCTCAGCTCGCTGGACTTTGGGTGTTTAGGTGGACGCATTCTTTACTCATGATGCATGGCGTGAGTTGATGCAGGCCACTGGATTGCATGGTTGTCACGTTCATGCTCCTATGCTAAGTTCATATCCGGGGGATGTTCAGGCTGTTGGACCGGGTATGCATGCTCATACTGTTGGATGTGCGTACTGGTACATGTTGATATGTAGGCATGCATACTCATACATACTGATTTGGGGAGTGGCTCACACGCCTCAATTGGTTGGGTAAGTTTGGTTCAGGCCGCTGGACTACTTAAACCCCCCCCCCACAAACTCAGGGCATACGGAAAAAAAAGAGGGGGTGGTATCATTGTCATCGCACGGGCGCTCTTTTACTGAGTTTGGGTTGGCCATAGTCATTGACTTACACATTCAGGGAATTGGGGCGGCAGTTACTTTGAAAGAAAATTTTTCTTTGTTATTACAGCTTCCAAGCTAGAATGTCACACAAGTCGGATATTGAGGACTTTGCATCTCTGCCGGCAACCCCAGCCAGAGGATCGGAGCACGGGAGCATCCCTTCTCTCAGGTCCTGGACTATACCTAAGCTTATTGCGGAGCTGCAATGCAGGGGGATACCTTTCTCGGCTACTGCCAGGAAGGCAGAACTTTTTAAACTATTATTTCCTCCAGCCGCGGCCGGTACTAGCTGGGAACAGGTGTCGTTACATACACTCGCTTCTTCACTCACGCAGATTCACGCTTCCTTAAACACCGTTTCTACTTCACTTCACGATCTCCAGAACAGGACGGAAGCTTTGGAGAAGCAGGCAACTCCGGTTCCTGCTGATGATGTCCAGGCTAGGGATACCATTCGTCAGGTCCTTCCCGGTACATCCAGTACTCTCATGCCGTTAGACCCAGGTGTAATTGACTCCCCTCCGAATGTTACCCGGCACATCTTGTCCCTGCAAATTTGAAGAAAGACATCTTGGAGGGCAAGGATGTAAATTTAGCGTCGTTACTCATAGCAGCCCACGATGTAGCCGATAAACAATCTTGCGCTTGTGTGGAGGTTTCAGTCATATGGAAGGCCAGAGATCACAGGCTGTACCGAAATCTGTCCATACCAGAGTTCGTTTTAGCGTTTGGGATTTATAGGGACGTAGTTTGCACCGTTAGCCCACAGAGGAGGGAAGAGTTCGATTCTTATCTCCATTTAGTGGTAGATTTGGGTTACAAATACGGGGGATATGCATTCTACGATTACCATCGTGCAGTCTCTGCTAAAGCCGCAGTAGCATTAGCTCAGTTTCAGTTTGTTACTAATTGGAGTAAAATTGATACTGAGCTGTTTTGTAGACACTTCGCCGGGTTAAAATTGCCAGTCTGCTCAAATTGCCAGTCATCGGCACACACAGCAAATTGGTGTCCTCATCCCATGTCCTTGGACGCAGTTGCCACATTCAGGTCTGCATCTTTACTACCTACGACTTCCAGTTCAGCCTATGTTCAAGTGGATAAATTAGGCAGACCCATCCAGTGCCTCAGTAAGGCCCGAATATGCAACAATTTTAATTATAAGTCATGCAATTATCCACATTGTAGATTATTGCATGTATGTTCCATCTGTTATCGAGCACATCCTAAAGTTAGCTGTTCAATTAGAACTTCCCAACCTCTATGACTAGGACGCATAGAGGTTGAAACCTTAGCTAAATATCTGCCTGACTATCCTGATCCTGGGTTAGTAGCCTTTTTAACCGAAGGCTTCACTGTGGGGTTCCATACTGGGTTTATCAAGTTACCCCAAACAACCTACGAGTGCGTGAACTTGAGATCAGTCTTGGCTGAACCTGAAATAGTGGATTCTTTGCTTCATAGTGAATTGTTATATCACTATTTGCGATGTGGAGAGTGAGCCCCATCAGGCTGGTGTGTGGCAAATTTAATAATAAATTCAAATTAATTTATGATTTGTCCGCCCCTCATTCCACGCATGTTCCCAGTTTGAATGCTCTAATTCCTTCAGAGGAGTTCTTGTTAAAATATGCTTCGGTGGATCAGGCGGTACAGTATATTTTACAGGCAGGTAGGCATGCTTGGTTGTCTAAAGCGGATATTTCAGACGCTTTCAAACTCTTGCCGATCAGGCAATCTTTGTGGCAGTGGCACGGTATCAACTGGAAAGAATTGTATTATTGTGCTACGAAGTTGACCTTCGGTTCCAAAAGTAGTCCGTGGTTGCTCAAGCATTACATTGGATTCTGGAACATCAGGCCCATTGTCATAAGGTTTTGCATTATTTAGATAATTTTTTTGCTGATAAAGTCCCCCACCGAAGTCCCACAGGACCTGAATCAGTTATTGTACACTTTCAGGGCACTAAATGTCCCGGTAGCTTCACAGAAAGTAGAAGGTCCGGTGAACGTTATTACCTTCCATGGTATGACTTTGGTATCCATGCAGGCTAGCTTACCGCTGGATAAGCTCAGCAGGATTAGAGAGTCATTACACGCTCTGGTCATATCCGCCAGGTGTACCAGAAGGGAATTACAGTCGGTGTTAGGCATGTTAAATTTCGCCATGAGAGTTATTCCGCAAGGTAGGTGTTTTATTTCCAGGTTGTTGGCTTTGTTACCTACAGTCTCCAATATGAATGCTCAGATTCACATTGACGCAGCAGGACGGGCTGACCTGGTGATGTGGGACGAGTTCTTACGACATTGGAATGGGATTTCAATGTTCATCCCGCAAGCTTCCGCATCATCTCCACAGGTAATCTCAGATACAGCAGCATCTACCGGATTTGCAGCTATTTTTGGCACTCATTGGTTTGCTAGTGCCGGTGATGTGTCGAAAGTGCGAACTTATCGAGTTGTGGGACCGCATTACTTCCGGTTTCCTCAGTACTACGAGGTTTTTACACAAAACATGTTGTGCACGAGCGCCATCCACGGCATTGCCCTATAGACATAGACCACAGCAATAAAGTAATAAAATGATGTAGGATGACAGTAAGCCAGCGCGTTGTTTATCTCCGGTGCCCCACTCAATATGGCCGCCGCTTGAGTGGGGCACCTGAGATAAAGAACGCGCTGGCTTACTGTCATCCTACATCATTTTATTACTTTATTGCTGTGGTCTATGTCTATAGGGCAATGCCGTGGATGGCGCTCGTGCACAACATGTTTTGTGTAAAAACCTCGTAGTTCTAAGGAAACCGGAAGTAATGCGGTCCCACAACTCGATAAGTTCGTAGTTTTGATCGATCACCGGCCGGACGAGGTAAGGGCTATCCCCTTGTTTTTGAAACTTCTGCTTTATTCGAAATTTATCCGATTGTGGCAGCAGCGGTTAATTGGGACCCGTTGTGGACAGGTCACACCGTGACTTTCTTCACAGACAACCAAGCCACTGCAGACATTATCAATAAAGGGAGGTCCAAGTCGTTATTGATCATGTCGTTTCCCCGTTGATTAACATCCTTGTCATTGCAGTATAAGTTTCATATTACCTGCTCTCTCCTTCCCGGTACATGTAACGTGGCGGCTGACGCTTTATCTTGTTTAAAAACCCATCTTTTCTTCCAACAGATGCCAGACACGGACGCCAACTCATCAACAGTACCGCATTTCCATCAACTTCGGTTGGATTAAATAGACACCAGTATAATGCAGCTTGTCTCATCAGTCATTCACTATCTGATAACGCTCGCAAAGCATGTACCGTAGCTTGGCAGCTTTTCCGTAAATTCCAGTTAACACACAACACTCAAGATTCGGGTAGCGTTTCATACATTTTGTCGTTTATTGCATACTGCCACACCGATTTAAAGCTCGCAAATACCACCATAAGAATGTATTTGGCAGGTGTGCAAAGTTTTTTGGCCTTGAGATTCCCAGACAGACCCAGAAAGGTGAAATCAAAGATTTTGTCAGCAATTGTCCCACCTGCAATGAATATGCACACTTGCAACAAAAAGAGACCATGATGTCACATGAGATACCTACACGTCCTTGGCAGATTGTCAGTATAGACTTATTCAACTATGCGGGAAAAGAGTACCTGATATTAGTTGATCATTACTCAGACTTCTGGGAAATTGACCTGCTTCCTGACCTATCCACTGAAACTACAGTTAAGAGGTGCAAGGCACAGTTTGCACATCATGGCCAACCAGACAAAGTGATTTCTGATAATGGCCCTCAGTTCTCAAGCTTGCGATTCAGAAAATCTGCCTTTTGAATGGTAGTTTGAGCATGTAACTTCCTTCATCCACAGGCTAACGGCAAAGCTGAATCTGCGGTGAAGATTGTAAAAAATGTATGCAAGAAAGCACAAAGTGATGGTAAAGACCAGTGGAAGGCCATCTTACATTGGAGGAACACTCCAACTGTGGGCATGGATAGTAGCCCAGCACAGAGACTGATGTCACGAAGATTAAAGACCTCCTTACCCGTGGCCAACAAGTTACTTGTACCCCCTGTGATACAAGGCGTACCATAAAAGTTACGGCTTAAGAGGCAAGTGTTCAAGGCACAATATGACACATCTGCAAGAGATTTGCCTGAATTGAATATTGGGGAACGAATCCACATGAAACCGCGGCATGGAAATCGAACAGGTCGTTGGAGAATGGGTACTTGTCAGCGAAAGGTTGCACCACGCTCCTATCTTGTGGACATTGACGGAACTCTCTATCGTCGCAATCGTGTGGATCTGCGTGTGGCTGAAAAGCCTGGATCACATTATCCAGTTGACAGGCCAGACTCGCATGTAATGAACATACACAAAATAGTCCCTAGAGTCTGCAACACCACTAAGCAGGGGGAACCACCAAGAAAGCAGCACCATGAAGACCAAGTACCTCTACAAACAGGTCAAGGGCAAAGTTGTGGAGAAGTACAGATTGTGGCTGAAAAAAATTTGCACATCCCACAGAACGCCATTAAATCCATTATTAAAAAATGGAAAGAATATGGCACCACAACAAACCTGCCAAGAGAGGCCAGCCAACCAAAACTCATGGGGCAGGCAGGGAGGGTATTAAAGAGGCAACAAAGAGATCAATGATAACCCTGAGGGAGCTGCAAAGCTCCACAGCATAGATTGGAGTATCTGTCCATAGGGCCACTTTAAGCAGTGCACTCCAGAGCTGACCTTCATGGAAGAGTGACCAGAAAAAAAATAAGCAAACATGTTTGCTGTTCGACAAAAGACGTGGGAGACGCCCCAAACATATGGAAGCAGGTACCCTGGTCAGGTGAGATTAAAATTGAGCTTTTTGGCCTTCAAGGAAAACGCTATGTCTGATGCAAACCCAAAACATCATCACCCCGAGATCACCATCACCACATTGAAGCATTGTGGCGGCAGCACTGTAGGGATGTTTTTCATCGGGAGGGAATGGCAAACTGGTCAGAATTGAAGGAATGATGGATGGCACTAAATACAGGGAAATTCTCGAGGGAAACCTGTTTGCCAGAGATTTGAGACTGGGACAGAGATTCACCTTCCAGTAGGACAATGACCCTAAGCATATTTGCTAAAGCAACACTTGAGTGGTTTAAGGGGAAACATTTAAATGTCTTGGAATGGCTTAGTCAAAGCCTAGACCTTAATCCTATTGAGAATCTGTGGCATGACCTAAAGATTGCGGTACACCAACGAAACCCATCCAACTCGAAAGAGCCGGAGCAGTTTTGCCTTGAATGGGCAAAAATCCCAGTGGCTAGATGTGCCAAGCTTATAGAGACGTACTCCAAGAGACTTGCAGCTGTAATTTCTGCTAAAGGTGGCTCCAAAAAGTAGGGACGCACCGATACCGGTCTCTTCAGTATCGAGTAAAAGTACTGTTTGTTTTTTTGGTACTCGCCGATACCGGAAGTCCCATTAACCACTTGCTGACCAGGTGTTTACACCTCCTTCCTGGCTAGGCCATTTTTTTTTAGTATTTAGCGCTGCGGTACTTTGACTGACATTTATTCCATTATGCAACGCTGTACTGAAATTAATTTTATACCATTGTTTGGGGACAGATAGAGCTTTTTTTTTGGTGGTTTTTAATCACCACTGCGGTTTTTATTTTTTACTATATTGGGGAAAAATGACAATTATTATTATACTATAGCCGACGGGGCCGGCTAGCAAGATACTGAAGCTTGGCCCAGCGGGAGATTTCTCCATCCACACAGTTTAGCATAGATGGAGGAATCTGTTGCACTTTTTCCATCTGATTTAGAAAATCTGCAGATAATCTATAGGTGTATGGCCAGCTTTAGTCATGTCTGTCACAGAGTTCTGGAAATGCCATTACTGACACGCCCTAATCTGTTCAACTGTCTCGGATTGTAATACATCTATTGACTGAACATTTCTGCATTACATTTGCCCTCCTCTGTTTTGCCTCTTAGGAGTTAGTGGTGCAGAAAGGTTGGAGACTTCCTGAATATACAGTAACACAAGAGTCTGGGCCAGCACACCGGAAGGAGTTCACCATGACCTGCCGTGTGGAAAGGTTTCTGGAGATTGGTAAGACATTTTTGTAGTGACCGCATCAGTCATATCTAGACAACCAGTTCATTAGAAGGCACGGGTATTTATCAAGCCACTGGCATTATGAATCAGGAAATATCATAAAAGTGTGACATTTCATACTAATGCACCAAACTTCTATTTATTACCATTACTAGGAGTTTACACACAAACACCAGGGTGCCTGTTCCTACCTATGCTTGATCTCACATGTCTTAGCCCTAATAATAATATTACAATGGGCAGATTAGTAATCCAGTTGCCCTTTAATAAGGTCATTCAAAGACTGTATATCACTGCAAAGACAGATGTCATTAAAGTAAAACATCTACTTTGTAAATCTTATCCAGATTTCTTTGTGTCTGCCTTTCGCGGTTGGCTTAATAATTAAATATTGTAAAGAAAATCTTCGCTAAGCACCATTTCTGTCTAAACCAAAACCTAATCACAGTGCAGGTTTGGAAAAACTACGGCTTGTATATGAAGTAAACCGTTTACTGCCCTTTCCCCTTTTCTCTATGTCATACTCGTATGGAAAAACATGGTGGCAGAGGAGGCATGGACATTGCATGCATTTCAATGATTCTCAGTGAGTTTAAAGCAGGGAAGTAGTTAAAAATAAAGAAGTACAGAAAAATACCTGCTGATACTGCCAGAAATCCAATGAGCTAGCTTCCTGTGGACTTTGCAGCATTATTTATCATATATGCCCCCAATTATCATATTCCCCATAAATGCAGTACAGCGAGTGATTGTTGTGACCCTAGAACAGGATGTGTGTTACTGGCAGGATCACCAGGTGAAAATGCTGGAAAAAATGCCTTAAAAATATACAGCCACCACATCTAAGGACTGGTAAGCGGCAGGATATTACGTTTTTGTGCTTGCGTTTAGACACACTTTAAGTATTAAAGGGGATGTATAGTGGCTGTGTACATATTTCCTTTATGGACTGGGCTTTAATTTATTAAATATGTATATAATGTTTTTTCTGTTTTAGGTAAATATTGTATATAAATATTATGTAGTTCATTTTCCAGCCAGCAGGTGGAGCGGTCATCTTTTCATTTGTTTTTCTGCTGTCTCCTTTTACATGTGTTGTAAAATCCTGTTGTTTACAGAGCTCAGTAGATCTGACTCTTACACACACAAGTGAAAGAGTTAAAAGAGTGCCACATCCTTTTATAAGACGGTTCCAGCTGCAACCTATTACTCTACGTTTGCTGCATGCTTTGTTTGGCTAAAATTTCAACTGTTCCTAACAGTGCACCAGTCACAGACAAACTGATGATTGGTGAGGTGTGACCAGATGTGGCACATTAAACCTTCCTGTTCACCTTTGCACTGGGGCTGTTACTCATTTGTGGTCCACACAGATCTATTGAAGCATTTTATTGAACACGTTGGCCAGCAGTGTTGCATGGGGCGGGGTAATTGTTGCTATTGTGAGATCACTCTTCCCCCCTTTCACCTAAGTTGTATTATAATGTTTGTAATATGGACTCAATTGTTGTTGCCCAAGATTACAGCACATTATTTCTCCAGGTAGTGGCACATCCAAGAAGCTTGCTAAGAGGAATGCTGCTGCCAAAATGCTTCTTCAGATCCACCGAGTACCCTCAGAACACCGGGAGAGTGGAGAGCCGGAGCCTGAAGAAGATCAGTTCTCTATGGTAACATCTTTATATTTTATTTTTATGGAGATTAGCACAGTGGTAGTGAACGTTCTTAATATAGGCTGCCTAAAGTGCTGTCCTTGACACGGCCAAAGGGCTACACATACTATTCAGTGAATGTGATGCTAAGAAGAAAGATTGCGGACATGCTATAGGAGTTGGAGAATGGGGACATGCTTCAGAAGACAGTCATAGACTGAGGACACATTACATAGGACTGCTGGAGATTACGGCTATTACTGCCACTTTACAAATCAATTTATTTGTGCTTTCTACAGCCCCCTTCAAAATTAGCTGTGCCAAGTGGATATTCCTAGTGCGGAAACAAAATTAAAATGATAACAAGGGTGGACAGAAAAAAAGTAATAAACCAAGCCAGTGAACTTATAGAACCCAGTCTACGCAATATTTGTTATTCAGTGGCCTAAGTAAGAACTTTAAAACAGAAGTCATCAACTTGCACAATTAGATCGATTGTTTATGGACTGTATATTAATAGTCTTTTATAGGAGCTCCAGTTAAAGTAAGAACTTTGGTAAGGAAAACAGGCCCCTGAGGGCTGCACCAAAAGGCCATATGTGGGCTGTGAGCTGCAGGTTAGGCACCAGGGCATTAGCTTATTGGTTCCTGGACTTTCTGGTTGACTCCACGATAAGTCAGATGTTTGTCATCCTGAGCAGGTTAAAGGCTAATGGGTTAATGTTGATAAGGCGAAGATCAATGATCAACGTTTGTATGCTATATGTTGCCGCACAATTCATCTAGTGGTAATCTGACTTCAGTAAACTCAAATTGGAGATTTATTGCACTTTGTGCATCATTATTTTTGTGCTTCAGTAAGCCCAAGTGAGTTAGGGAATGGGGAAATCCATATATGCAGCAGCACAAGTGGAAAGGGTATTGGAAACATTGGGTGCTTACTGTATATACATTGTGGGCACCAAAACTCTCCACATACATATTTGGTGCATAGAATGCTCTTCCCCAGCCGGAGGGTGATATATGTCTTGTTTTGTTCAATGGCAAGCAAGACTGTGGTTGCATTCTTAGCTGCATCTAATGGTATTAGTACAATTGGCATGCGAACTATGTATTTACTCTACATAACAATTCAGTTATTAGTTTGCTCATTTCTACCAGGGAGAGTGATCCTGAAGCCAAAAACTACACATAGACCTATAAATGGTTTTATAGTGCTTTTTATATGCAATCTCGTCTGATTGGTTTTCGTATTGTACAACTTGGATTTCTTTCAATGTCATATACACTGCCAGGGGTGAACTATGAAGTGACTGTGACACCATGGTGATCAGTTTATAAGTTAAATGTGTATTGGTGTTGAGTTATGTTTTGAGTGCGTTATGCTGTGTGACCTGGTTATGGAAAGACTATCAGAACCATCCCTCGTTATCTCCTATTGTTCTCTGAGGGAGCTCAGAACAACGACATTCTGGCCAGGCTTCTGTTATGGCTGTCTGGAGCTCGTTAGCAGGTGGACACCTGTGGTGTTATGAAGACAGAATGTCCAGGGAGGGGACGGGGGATGTGATGGGATTATATTCTGATCTGATCACTTTCTGTATAAAAGTTTGTGCAGTTGTTCAATAAAGCAGAGTTTGTTTACCCTACACTCAAGCCTTGGCTAGTGACTGGGGAAACTGGGAGCTAAGGATCTTCAGGTTCCAATATCTCCTCAGCAAGGAAGAAGACAGCGGCGGACATACTCATCCTGAGTACGGGGGTCCGTCACAGTGACTACTAAGCAATAGAGAGCTTAATGCATTCCAGGGGCAGCATCTTATAGGCTTTTATAGAAGTATAACCACAGCTGATGGAATTGAATAAGAATTGCAAACCACAGACCCTCCATTTGATCAATTTAGTGATCTTTACATTGCATAATAATGAAGGGTTACCTACCCATGACATACACGCACTGAATTTCCACAGATAACTACACCAGCCTCATATGTTTTACTATTCTTATTATTGTAGTCCTATCTAGTTGTGTAATATGGAGTTTTGTTTCAACAATGCAGTCTGAAAATAACACCAACCTATGGGCCTTATGACTGAACATTTCTGAAAGCAGAACTGTCCCAACTGACTTTATTTTATTTTCCCAAGTTCCTTAGCAAGTGAGAAGTTAGTTGCTATTGGCAATACGCACAGATCTGCTTTCAGACACCTTTATTTATGAGGCCCTTTAATTTTGGACAAAAGGAGTTTGACAGTTTTGTAGAACTGCATATGAAAGTGTTGTTAGAATATCCACATTGTGAATATTGTTCTTGTGGTTATACGTGATTTGTCTTGCCCTTAACAATAAATTCCTGTTGTAGGTTTCTGCATCACAAAAACCAGTGCTTGTTATGTCTCTGCAGTGTACAGGAGGGGGAAAGATGGATGGGGGCAGAGGGCGAGGTGTGGCGTGTACCTGGGACTCCCTCCGTAATTCTGCTGGAGAGAAGATCCTACATCTAAGGAGTCATCCTCTAACCATCCTGAGCTCGGGTTTCTGCAGTCTTCTCCAGGACCTGTCTGAGGAGCAGAGCTTTCAGATCAGTTATCTTGATATTGGTGAGTGAAAGATATAACAGAGCTAGGAGAAACATTTCTCTCTTGTTAAAGAATGTGCTAAGTAAAACATCTGAAGAGCAAAATGATGACAAATGACAGAGTTTCAACTATACCCCAGATGTAGCTGACCAAGCAGAAGTTTACTAGGGGTCTATTTATAATCAATTTGCAGGGTTCTTTCCCCCCTATGAATATATCTGTGAATATTTTTGTTTTGTGCGAATAATAGATAAAACATCTTAATGAATATATTAAGGTTCTTAATATAGTTTCTTTTCAGGCCGAATGTATAGTGATGTAATACTGCATTATGGCCACTAGATGGAGCTGAGGAGCATGGGAAATACTTCCTATGTTCCTCTACTCCATCCAGTGCTCATAATGCAGTATTACATCACTTTGCAGGTCAAATGTAAACAGGTTTTTGCAGTTATTCGCACAAAACAAATGTTCACAGATATTCGCAGGTTACTTTGTTTAAAAATAGACCCCTTGGAGTTTGATCTTGGAAAAAAAATATGCCAGGGGTTTGAGACCCACAGAATCTAAGGAAGGATGAACAATTAAGGTTCAAGGGAAAACTGGAGTCCCCAAGATAAGATTTCCTTTTACATTGGTCGTACAACCCTTAACTGTCCTAAGCAGGGAATCCCAGACATTGAGTGGAGGGCTACAATGTCATCTACAATGGTGAGGTGTGATTGGAACCACTGGAAGGAGAGAACTTTACAGGGAAAAACAGTAGCCTTTGCTGACCAGTAATCGGCTGTCACTGGTTCCCAACACCCTCTTTGTAGATGGGTAGCTGTCACCTGAATGTCCCCTGGTATGTCTGCAGGAAGCCTCATATACATTACCTACTTTGTGAATAAAATGTTGAGCATTTTGGAGAAATTATACATTTGCCCTGCTTATTGCCACCTCTTACCTGGATATGGCTACAGAGACTGGGAACCTATTCTTTGGAGTAAGTGACATGGCGTATGTTACCTTGTTTATTACTTCTGTCCGTCTTTAGTTTCCAAAGTGACTCTGTCATGAATGTATGGGGGTGCCATTGCAGGCCTCCTTATGAAAACGCTAGTTGACCTGTATGTGTCTTATGTGAGCATATTTCAGTCACATGCCTGGAACAAGCATAGAGTAAATGTGTCTGAAATTCTTACCACTATACTTGTTCTAGGTCAGCAATGCAGACCGCATTGAAGCCAAAACATCAGCCTTGGAATTGGCATTCTCACAAGTAGGGATGCACCGATGCCAAGTATTTGAGTACTTGTACTCGCCCAAATGCTCAGATGAATAGCCCGATACTTGAGCTTCCGGTTTTAGGAAGCCGGGCAGCGAGTCATTACACTGGTTTTGTAGCTTTTTCTATTTGCTGTGCTGTATGTAGGTGCACTCACTGGTTTGGTATCTCTTTCCATGTGCTGTGTTGTATGTAGGTGCACTCACTGGTTTTCATTCTCTTCCCATGTGCTGTGTTGTATGGAGGTGCACTCACTGGTTTTATATCTTTTGTTTCCCCAGATGAATGCAGTTTAAGTGGCCTGTACCAATGTCTTGTGGAACTCTCCACCCAACCCACCACTGTATGCCATGGCTCTGCCACAACCAGAGAAGCTGCACGTGCAAATGCAGCCCACAATGCCCTGCAGTATCTGAAAATCATGGCTGGGGGCAAGTAATTATGGTGGGGGAGCACATGCTCCCCCAACAAGAATAAAATCACACAACCAGTTTACCTTATGTCTGTCAAGGACTCAAGACTTCAGGAGCCTAAATTATACAGTCACGCAAATACTGCGATGGACGCCATTCAGTTGGGAATACCGCTGGTTTCCAAATGAAGATACATCCGCTCTTCATTTATGGTTCTTATTTCGGTTGGGACTGATGAAATCCAAATTATTTTTTTCATGTGCTTTGTTTCCACATATGAAATATTGAAAAAACGAAGTGGGATTAAAGGATAATTGTGTTTCATTGTGAACTCAAGGAAAATGATTGAGCTGCACTCATAATACAAGAGCTAATCCTCTAATGTCAAACAGGATAGGAAGATTTTTTTATAGATGGTAAACTATGTGAAATGCAATACACAATCAGCAAGTCAGAGGATTTGGTTTTGGCATATTATTTAGAGAATGGATTTCTGACAGTAGAGGATTGACTTTTCTATTATATACAAAGACTTTTGGGTGCTGCTCGCATGTTTCTACATTTTGGGTACATTTGCAGAGTACTGCCATCTGCATCTGAAATCATTGCTATGACATTTTTGTTATTGTGATTCCATCGTACTTTTTGGTTAAATCATGTAAACAATTCTGTGCATGAAATCAAATAGATCCTCATAGTCTTAAGCTGGTCATACATTGTTTGATTTTGGCCACGTCCTGCTGAAAATGGCCTAACATGGGGGAAAAACCCTATTATGAAACAATCCCATATTGTAATTCAATCTCTTTACTGTTTATTATGAAATATGTGTCCAGTGTGACTTCTTTTTTTTTTTTTTTTAACGAGTGCAATGGTAGATAAAGCTTAAGATGGATGAGGATTAAAGTGACACTAAACTTAGGAGTTAAAGTGACATTAAACCCTCAGTTTTTTTTAACATAAACCAATACTGTAATGTGTGCCTTACTGTAATCCATGGTTGTTTCCTTTCTCTTTGCTGCTCTTCCTTTTAAATCCTCATGTCTTCTCATGCTTGGGAAGAACTTCCCTTTTCAGCTCAGGGCCTCTTCCTGTAGTGCTGGCTCAGGTTTCAAGCCTATACAAACGTACACACAGACACCACGTATTCATTCCTGAGACAAGGCAGTCTGCTGCAAAACAGAGGTTCTGCCCAGCATGAGAACAGATACAGATTTAAAAGGAAGAGCAGCAAAGAGAGGGGAAACAACCGTGGATTACAGTAAGGCACACATTACAGTATTGTTTTATGTTAAAAAATCTGAGGGTTTAATGTCACTTTAAATCTTACAAATGTATTCAAGGACTTTAACTATTAACACAAATGTAGCTTATTTGTGTATCACTTGGCTGTAGATCCTCAAATCATCTGAATTGGTGCTGACACTGTCCTTCCTTCTGGAGGGGGGCTACTATTGTTCCCCATGGTCCCTGTGTGTGTTGTACAGTAGCCACCGCTCCAAGCTCTCTCCCAGGATGGACTATAATCTCATGCTCAGTTTACTAATCTGTAATGATTGTAGTCCATCACTGGAGTGATACACAAATAAGATACATTGTTGTTAATAGTTCGGGTAATTGAATGCATTTTTAAGATTTAACTCCTGAGTTTAGTGTCACTTTAATTATACTGTAATTTATTTTACTTTTACGTTCTGTACATAACTCCTTTTCCCGTTTCTCCAAAGCTGTGAATGTTTCTACACCATATGGATGGTCTGGGATGTCATGACAGCTAATGTATTTAATTTGGAATGAATGTATCAGAAGCACATGAAACATGATTTATTGGACTAAAGATTACATTAAGGGATTTTTGTAAAAGTTTTTTTTTTAAATTTCCTGGTTTTGCAAAGATAACAAATGAAATGTAAAGATGACAGAATTGTAGTGAAACAAACCTGGTCGACTTTATTTTGTAAAGGCGACGATGCAAAAAAAATAAACCAGTCTGAACACATGTTGGTTCTCTGATGGGCAGTGGTATTTGTGACTAATGAGGCGGCTTCTCCACTTTTGTTAGGACTTGTCCACACTGCACTCTTATAAACAAGTGTTAAAGCTGAAGTCCGGGCTAAGCAAATATTGTCTAAATACAAGAGGTATGTGTAGAGGCCTGTGTATCCTTATTTGAATCTTGGTGTGCTTTGTGTATTTCTTTCAGATCCACGTAGTCATCCAGTGTGAAATGCTGTCTGTGAGCAGGAGCTTCATGTAATAAAGACCAGTCACTGCTGTTCTCTCCTTGTGCAGGGTGACTGGTCTTGTATCCGCCCCCTTCTTTAGCTTCCAGCAGGCAGCCTGTAGTGTGTGCTGGGTCCCTCCCACAGCTCTGCTCTCTGCACAAGCTAGGTACAGCACAGTGATCATGTCACCACAGATTTTACAAGGTAATAACTGGGATTACAAATACATATCCATTTTTGGTGCATTTTTTAAGTATATAAACTCAATCACTAAAATCTTCTAGAAGCTTTAATTGTTAATATAATAATACCGGGTGATTCTGCCATGAAGGTCCTTGTGCAAGCATTCACTGTTATGGTTTGACAATGGCTGTCCCTGCCTCCCAATTGAGCTTCTGGATTGTAAAAATGGCCATCACAAGCCCATGCGACAGTATGACACTCATTCCCTAGACATGGTGCACTGTTGTCACCATCGGTAAAGCCTGCTCAGAGAAATGCAATGCAGCCATCGCTGGAGTGAATGTAGACATAAAGAGGCTGCAGCAGGTCAGCAGTACTGACCTGTAAGAAAGGGTATAAAAAAGTTGAAAAGCGTGTGACAAGGCCACATACTGAATAATTTTCAGCCAATTCAGCAGCAAACAGCCGAAATTTGTTTCATGAATGGCCAGCTAACCCTGCTTTGCACGTAATACTGGAGTACAAGTTATTAGCTGGCTGGACTGTTGGTTGCTTCTGGTTACTTCAGAAAAACAGAAGGCCAAAGAACAGTACCAACTCCCCAAAAGGGAATTTTTCTTCCCAAGCATTTATTTCCATTTCCTCCACATTTGCATAAGCCCGTGCTGTCCAGGAAAAGTGACAGTGACAGGCTGAGAACATTGTTACCACTACCGGAGGTGCTTAATAGTTGCAGCAACATTATTTTAACAGATATGTCATTGTAACTGCGAAGCAAATCTAGCACATTGTAGGCTGTGTCAACACGTCACTGTCCAGCTTTATTGGTCAGCTTGGCTTGCATGTAATGGGGGGGTAATAAAAAGGATTTCCTAAATAAATGTGGATTTCCAAGGTCTGTCAAAAGCTTTGAATTTTACATCGTAGATGTAAATTGAGTGGATTAAGGTCTTCATTCTACTGTATAGAGTTATTGTGTAATGTAAAGAGGCTACAACATATGATCTGGGTGACCGAGGTCAGTCTGGCAAGGCTGGGAGCAAGCTGCATATGAGCATCAATTCCACCAGATCTGCATTGCCACCTACCTAGATGTCACTTTTCATTAGAGGTTCGTCCTGATTTTATCCACCATTCCATTCTATTGGAGTATGTATTTGTAAATGGTAATACAAGGTGTCTGATCATTACACTCCATGACTTCCACTTGTGCATAGAGCTTATGTTCTATTCCTGGAATAAATATGTACCAAGGCCAACCTGCTGTTGATGCTTTGATGCAATTTCGCCCCCATGTGTATAGATCTAAAATTACAGCTAGGATTTTTTTTTCTCTGCAAATAATTTTTTTGTTTTTATGTGCGAGGGGTGCTTTCGAACTAGGGACACTTTTTAACTTGTGGTGCTTTGGGGAGCTTTACTATTTTGTCCCAAAATACATTTGCAAATCTGAAACTAGTGTAACATTTAAAGAAGAATGTGGCTCTCAACAAAAGTTTTCACAGCCATAAATTCTATTTGTTTCCATCTCAAAACACAAAGTCTTGCCCTTCAACAGCATTGCCTTTATTTTGTGATACTTGGAGGGCTGCTAATTTGTAAATGATGTGTCACAGGTGGTGAGAGCCGTGATATATAGTATGTGTGTGTCCAACCCCAGGGCTGACAACTGCGACATGCTGGAGTTGCTTTTTCTTTTATTAAAGCTGTACTCTGGCCAAAAGCTATTTTTTGACACTTGCACTGTAAAAACTAAATTCACGCTAATGTGCCCCATGTGTCTAGGCTGCAGCATTACGTACCACTCTGACTTTCACTCACCACGTACCATGCATTCAGCGCCGAATGTCTGGCATTGAGAGTTTGGGTTCAGGCTAGAGTACTCGGATCACAGTGGGTTGCTTGTACTGCAGCTCCTCCATTCAGTAAACATGTTGCATTCTTGGCAGTATACTATTTCTGTACATTTTGGCTCATTACATTTGATTAATTTCCGATCATTGGTACTTATACCTTATCTGAGTTTACCATTCATTTTTATTGAAACGCATCAAACTAGTATTTTCTGTTGTACTACCCTGTGGCTTAAAGTAACATCCACTGAATGGTTGTGGGTTTGTCAGTTCTAAATATTAATACTCATCCAAGTGACCTGGTATTCCTTTTCCCTATCATTAGAACTCCAGGTTTGTGTTTTTGTCAGGCCTGACAGTAATGATCTCATGGCAAGTTGTTCCAGACTTGCTGATCTAGCTATAGGAATACCAGACCAATTGTTGGGGTGTAGGACTGCTATCACACATTTCTCTTTCTCCAGGATCCATGTCACCAGTGAGCTCTGCACTCCAGCACACTCCTCGGTGTCCATGCCACTAGGGAGATGTACACTCCAACGCAGCCCTTAAGGTCCCCACACACCTTGCGATAATCGTGGGAAATCCCGCGAGCGTACGATTATCGTAAGGTGTGTGGAAGCCGTGCGACCTCTACTATAAGGTCGCACGACTTTTAACTTACGGACATGTTCGAAAACCCGCCGAGCATCGTACAATGTTCGGCGGGTTTGTAGCATGTCCGTACGATAAAAGCCGTACGGGCCGGTGTGCGCAAGCGCACACTGCCCGTTCGGCATTGCGGTCATCGGAAGCCCGCCCCTCAGGGGGCGTGGCTTGCGATCATCGCAAGTACGATCTGCCTATGCAAGATAGGCAGATCGTACGTTTTTTTAACCTCTTGCCATCCGCCCGTTAAGAAAAAAACGGACGGACGGCTGACTCCTATCGGGTTGCCGTCGTCAGACGCCATTTTTTTCCTGCTCGCGCGCGCCCCCTAGCGCGCGCACGGGCAGGAAAGACCCGCTTGTTACTACAGCCGTTAACGGCTGTTTCACATACAACCATATCCACAAAAATTGCAAGATCTGCACTCAAAACCACATAGTCCCACCCATGGCATCTGTCAGCACATGTGCAATCAACTCAACCTGTATACAAGTTCAGTCATGAGACCTGCCACTTAACAAAGGAAAGAAAGAAAAATAAATCAGCGGCTTCCTGCACAGCTTCACTGTGCTCACCTGAGTACGGGAGCCACTACTTTATTTTGCATGGTTCAGTCACAGGTCTAATGACTGAGCTCGTTTACAGACTGAGCTGCTGTCAGACCTGTAACTGAACTAAAAGTGGCCATACACCTTACAACCATTGTACAACTTTTTTTGTCCAGACATCTCACCCTCGTTCAATTTTCTTGCAACTAGCCCATCATGCACAGACCAATGTAGCTCGCAAATTAACGCTCGTCAGCACCACCACCTGGCCAATTTTCGTTTGAGCATGTGCAGTTTTCATCTTGAGATTTCTGTGGTATAACAACGCCACTAACCTGTCAATTTTCATCCAACTAGACAAACGTTTTCTAGCCTGCTTGAAAGACAAAAATCTGCCACTTGTACAGTAATTAAGGTTGTGCACTTCCCATCAACTGGCAGATTTCCTGACTAAAACGCACCTTAAAAGAAACAAATTTGTGGCTTCCATACTCTGCCTCTGGTGTCAAATGAGTTCATCTCAAAGTCAGCAGTCAAAGGGGTACGCAAGTATGTATTTATGTAGCATTACTGATAGTGTTTAAGGGAGCAATTTCAATCTGCTGGCTGTGCCTCTTTAAAGGATAAATACAGTCCACGTGTATAATCCACCTTCTTGTAACATTGGTCCGCCAGCTCACTGTAGGACTAAAACATTCACTGAAACAAAGTGAACTGGGGGCTTTGGGAAATGTGCTCCACTAATGTGTGGCCTAGGAGGGGGCATTTGTGCCTGTTTCTTATATAACTATGGATATCCTTTAACCATACGCAACAGTGCACTCAGCATTGTTAGAAAAGTTGTACTATGCACCTCCCTTTTATGTTACATTAGCATGTAGCCAATGAAAGTAAACCAGTGACCAGATCTTGTACAAGAGAATGGGCAGCACAGTGGCGTAGTGGTCAGCGCTTCTGCCTTGTAGCACTGGGGGGTCTCTGGTCTGAATCCTCGCCAGGTCACTATCTTCAAGGAGTTTGCATGTTCTCGCTGTGGGGTTTCCTCCCACATTCCAAAGACATGCTGGTAGGTTAATTGGCTTCTGTCTAAATTGGCCCTGTATGCATGTGAGATAAGGACCCTAGATTGTTAGCTCCTTGAGGGCAGGGACTGATGTGAATGTGCAACTATGTACAGCACTGAGTAAATTGTCGGCGCTGTATAAATACCACTAATAAAATTAAATAAGTGTTTTGAATATTCTGAACAAGCAGTAAATGCCTTTGAAACAAGACCTCATGCTCCTCTGTATGTATAAGTATTGTGAAAAAAAATGTTCTCCAAGTTCACAACTCAAGCACTGTTTTTCTATAAGAGCAGATCTTGGCCGTGTGCCTGCCCTCTAATGTAAACTAACAGCAGGTGCTCCGAAGCTGTCAGACACAGACTGAGACCTCATTCTAGAGCAGTGGTTTTCGATGTTCGTGGTGGAAGCCCCAGAGCCTTGGATAAGCAGCCCCTCAAGTCTGTGTAAAAAACTGTGATAAACTGTTGAAAACTTTGAGTGTGCAACAGCAAGTGGATTGTTCAGCTGGCAGCCATTAGCGCCAAGAGCTAAAGAAAACTTTGTGTCTGCTCGAAGACATGCAAGTGAGTTAGGGTTGAGTCGTGAATCAGTGAGAACCAAGATCACGTGCATTCGCACTGCAAAGTCCTTTTGTTACTCGTAATCTCTCATTGAGCTGTTGAACAACCTGCATTTTGTATGGATGGAATCTTAAATCTCTATAAAATGGTTCTCACTGATTCACGACTCAACCCGAACTAACTTGCATGTCTTCGAGCAGACCGTCCCGGGCTCCTAACCAGTGCCTCTCCCACCCGTGCAATGTTTTCCGGCATTCTTGCAGTGCGGGCGGGGCCTGGTGGCTTCTTGATCATAATGTTTCCGTTTGTTCTGAAATGTTCAATAAACCTGAGGACCGTGTTGTGACTGGGACGGCTCCATGTCAACCAACATTGGACATTGATTTCAACATTGAATTCTCAACGAAATAGCCGATGCGAACAAAGCTGTCGTAAGCAAACAATGTTGCAATGTCCCCTGCTTCATTGTGACCGAATTGGCATTCCAGTGGGGAGGAAAAGACACCCAGCTTGTCCCCCTCCCATCACCACTTACCGTGTACTACCTGTTCTAAAAATGTCCGACTCCTGTTGGTCACCCTGTACAATGATTTTGTCATGTGTTCTAATGATTTTAAAAGCAATACTCTGACAATCAGTTACTTACTTTACTCCTATGCCAATTTTGTTATTCTCTCCTTTTCCTGAAATAAACAACAAGACTATCTACGCAACACAACCACCTACTACCAATGCTCAAGGCACACTGGCAGCTGGCCGAGTGATGACTTGTGACTCACCAATAAGGGACACAAGCCGCTCTTTGTGGTACCCCCTGAAAAAACATCTCACACCCCCTGATCTAGAGTCATTGTGATCCTTGAGAATGAATAACTTTACAATTAAAGCAGCTATAGAGGTCAGGTAAGGCTTGGTTTAAAGCTTTTTTTGTTTTGTTTAGAATATGTAAATAGGTTAATGTCCATAGTCTGGATACAGGTGCACTTAAATGACTACAACACCACTAGTTAATACAGTATATGCCACTACTGCTAAACTGCAGTTGAAATGTAGTGTGTTGTAATAATCCATTATGGCCAGTAGATGGAGCTGAGGAACATAGAAAATAAGTATTTCCTATGCTCCTCGGCTCCATCTAGTGGTCATAATGTATTATTTCAACACACTACATTTGAACTGGGGAAAAAATATATTAAGCAGAAACATTTGTTTTGGTAATATTTGCCCAAAACGAACATTCACAGATATTTGGCGAGTGAAGGCCCCTGTAAATAGTTGATATAGACCCCTATGTGTCTCAAAACGTTTTAGAAGCATTGAGTGCAGCATGCAATCATCAATAAGCATTGTCTATAATTCTGACTATTTAACTATGGCAACTCCAGAATTCAGTTTACACAGAAAAGACTATAGGTAATAGGCTATAGAAGGACTATAGGTAATAGGCTATAGAAGGACTATAGGTAATAGGCTATAGAAGGACTATAGGTAATCGGCAATGACACTGGCAACTTTTAGGCTGGATTTTTGTGTATTATATAGCGATAGTCCTGTTTTTAAGCTTTTTTAATATAAAACTGCTTTTTTTTTTTACAATTAGATATCTAAAATACTAGAACAGCGTTAGCTCTGGAGAATGATGATAATGCTGACATAGGAAGGTTAGTTGTGAGTTTGTACAGTCTTTTCCATGTTGGCTTTCTGTTTGCACAGTAAAGATGGTATAGTCTAAAGGTGCCCATACACCTTACGACCGTCACAAGACTTTTGTCTAGCGATGGTCGTACGCTTATTGAAAGCTACGATCATCGGACGAAACGTTTCGTCCGATAATCGTAAGGTGTATGGGCACCTTTTAAAGTCTATAGGTTACATGATTGACAGTGTGAAAGAGGAACCTCTTGTGCCTTGTATTACCTGCCATTAGATATGTGAAGGGATGACCTGGTCACACCTAATTTTTTTATATGACCAATTTACTAGCCAACGTGGGGGTAGAGTGGGGAAAGACTAGGACAGACTGTGATTGGAACTCACCATTTGTAGCTTTATGGAAAAGTGTTAGAACATCAGAACATCCAACTTCTGTTGCCCTTTAGCTTGCAGAACAGGTGTTTCTGCTTAAAGCCTGATTTCATCTTTCAGGTGATATGCACCAACTCAGTATAACAATAGACAACAAGTAATTAACGTGCTGAACTGAAAAAATGATTTAATGATACTTGAAGGCTTACATCAGTAGAGAAAATGGTTGGCCCTGTAGACTTGCTGGGCATCATGTAAAATACAGAGGAAAGAGTGAAAGTGTGACACAAAGCAACCAATCAGATATTAGCATTCATTCTCTGACCTACAGGAGACGAATCTGGTTACTGTGAGCATCTAAACCACCTTCTTTGTCCTCATTTTTAAACATCAGGTCAACTATAGATTGCAACAGATCACGAGAGGAAAATTCTGACTGCTATACAAAGATATTGTGCACTTTGTTAGTCAGCAGTCCCATTGTATCTTGTATGTGGAGACAGACTGTACACAGGAGCACTTTCAGGTTGTACATTTTGATAGTGTGATATTTCTTGGTCCATCTGCTTATGTCTTTTCAGTTTATTTTTTCCTCCCAAAGCGTTGAGGTACTGCCATGCTCCAAAACGGTGGTGCGGAGTCCCATCCTCGGGAATGAATCCGGCTATCACCCAATATGGAGCTGCGTTCATCTCTTCCAAACCTTAGGTGGAGAAGGACACAACATTAAAAGGAAATTCCACCTCATACCAACGTGTTTCTATGCAATGTCAAACTTGCATTCTGTTATGTTTTTGTTGCTAAATATCTCCGTATGTTAATTGTGACTAAGCAGCACTGTGAAAAATCTGCCTTTTGTCACTTCGCCCCCTATATTGTGAGTGTACCTAAGCACTCCTGTACCTTCAGCCTCATATATATCTACTGTGTGAAGTCAAGGCACTGCTGCCTCTGACTGCTAGTCTTAGGCGTCTTGGTGATGTCACTACTGTGCACTTCTGTTCTCCTTGCTGGAGTGAAATCTTTATCTGAGGACCCGCAGTGCAAGGATCTCCCTGCTTCTGCTTCACTCATTCTGCTGATATGTGCTTCCTTAACCTCGCCTGCTGTTTCTTGAATTTAACCCCATCAGTAATCAGATAACCAGTTATCAGGGGGACAGCTCTGACATTAGGAAGCAAAGCCCTATGCCTCTACTAAGATAGCCACCTCCATACAGAGACACAGCATGGGGCAAGAAATGACTGGTCCTGCAGACCAAGGCGAATGTATTGCTTGCAATTGGTATAATCACAAATGTGTTCATCACATAACTAGACAAGTAGGTAATTAGCATGGACTGTGTTACGTCAAAACAGATATATAAATGCCATAAAAAATTGTGTGTGTGTGTGATGATAATAAATCTACCAGTCTTGGGTGTGGCCTGTCATCCTAATAGTATACCAAAATCATCCCCTCTACACAAGTCACTGAACCAAAAGACGCCTGCACCCATTAAAGTCTGAGCAAAGACAGAATGCCGAATCAGCTCAAGTGTTACAATTCAGGTCTCCAAAAAGGATTGAAACTAGAGGAGCAGCATGACCACCAGGTAATTATCACTTCCAGAAGGACAATCAGAAACAGCAGCCTACTTATTTATCTCAGCACAGCTCTCTTTTAAAGAGACTCCGTCACCAGATTATTCATTTCAGCTAGAATGTCCCTGTAAGATTATATACACATTTAATGTATTGTATGCATCTTATTTACCTGTGAAATAGTCCTTTGTGAAGACAGCCACAGAAAAGTCCTGACACTGCTGCTGGGTGCTGCCATTTTGCATGTGATGTCAGCATCCTCAGCAAACTCAACTGTCACTCACGTGGCGCTCTATAATATTCACCTTCACTAGTCCCCAGCAGCTACATAAAAGGTTTTGTAGGAGGGTGGAGTAGAGGGGCTCGGCCAGCACAGGGGGTAATTAGACAAGTCCAGAAGAGGAATGGGCTATGATGTGCAAGGAGGGAAGGGGTGGTGCAAGGGAACTGACACTTCATGAATAAATCAAATTTTCTAGCAAGTTCAAAGGCACGTTATAAAAAAAATGATGTATAGGTAAAACACTGCAAGTAAGCATATAAAAGACTTGGGGTTCTATTTATAAACAATTCACCGGGCCCTTTATCTTGAGAATATCTGTAAATGTTCATTTTGAGTGAATTATGCCAAAAACTAATGTTCTTTATATTTTTTTTCCCCCCAGTTCGAATGTAGAGTGGTGTAATAATACAATATGGCCACTAGGTAATTACTTATTTCTTGTGCGTCTCAACTCCATCTAGTGGCCATAATGTATAATTACAACTCCCTACACTTGAACTGGGAAAACATATATTAGGAGCATTCCTTTTGGAATTCTACTCCGTAAAACAAACGTTTACAGATAATTGCAGGGTGAAGGGCTCTGCAAATTGTTTTTAAATGGACCCCTCGATTTTTCTGTGCTTTAACCTGAAAATGTTTACGTTCCCGACGGGGTCAAGAACTGGACTACATGATGATGGAAAGATTGGTTAATGACTATAATCTGCTTCTCAACCTTAGATGTGGTTGTTCATTTAGAGCTCATGCTTTGTCGGAGAGCAAAGTCTGATCAATATTATCTTATGTGCTTTCTGGTTTATTAGCCTTATGTTAATGTTTTCTACCAGATAAAAGCAACATGTCGTGTATCAGTGTATGTTTTTCTAGCTATAGGCCCAATGCACAGATCAATAACCCAAGGGCTCATGTTTTGGCATCAATCATTTTAAATGTTTTGTATTGTCATTTAATATCCACCCGCTATAAGAAGGATCGTGCAATAAAAGGCTACCCAGGAATAATCAATGGAAAACGTATTATTCAATGCACTGAGCTCCTAGACTGGCCAAGTAAATGATGATCACCAAGATTTACTATATACAAGAGTACAGCACATACAGCAACGCAGACATCTAAGGTGGATACATAGTAAATGGGGGGGGGGTCTGATCATGGATATAGTGTACTATATTTGAAGAAGGGTGCATGGCCCCTACTTGACTAGAATGCTAAAGCACTCATGGGCCTGATTTTTCATAGGACATTGGACCTGACTGCTGTGGCCAAGTCAAGGGGGGTTGGATCAGTTCTTGGCGCCTCATCCCTGCAATCTCCTGCCATCCATTGAGGAGCCTAGAGTTATGCAGAGCACACCAAAGGACATAGAGACACTATTGTAATGCTGTTTTAGATATACCGTAAACTCTGGTCATGTGATGTGTTATACCATGTGACCAAGTAAAGGGCATAAGCTTTCATGTGTCGTCGTCGTCCCCCCCTCCCATTCCCCAGAGGATCTCCTGTGAGCCCTTCTCTGCTCCATATAACTATGTGTCACTAAGCAGGGGAGACTAAAAAAAAAAAAATCAATTCAGTGTATAGTGGACTAAGACGTGATGGACTAAATTCACTGCAAGATTACTGAGGGTTTGGACTGCTTGTTTTAGAATCAGTATTTATATAATTCACATTTACAATAATTTGATATTGTGAGCAGTATTTGTGTCAGGGGATTAGTGGAGCGCTGCACCCAGTGTTATGTATTATATACAGATCTGTGATTACAGTAACATGGGCTTATTTCTAGAAGGTGAACAGGAGCAAAGTGTAGAAACACAAAGCAGACAATTACCAATCCACATTTATTGTTCTACCTGCTGTGACCTAATGACATCAGATTGTCTGCTACTCATACTGCCTGAATTTTGCATATCATTATTGCGATATGCAGTATATATATTTATTACACTGTATATCTTATTATATGCTGGGTTCAAACGTTTCCGTCGTGCTGTGTTAATGAACAGACTTTAACGTGCATTGCTTTAAGAGAATGCAGCAAAACGTCCAAATAAATGGACATGCCCCATTTTTGACAACACAGAGCACCCCAGTAGTGCGTTACTGCGTGTTATGGTGGAGCTGCCTTAGTGCGTTTAGGTGCCATTCAAAATGAATGGCCTTGCCAAGCACTAAAGCACGTAACATCTCTTAATGTGCACTGTGGTAACCCAGACTGACGGATATCTAAACCACCCAAAAATGTAATATTATTGCAGCTTATCAATACTACAATGTGGTGGCTGCATTAACTTTCTTTCTTCAGACTAAGCACATTTTTGGCAAGTACAGAAAATGCATGTTGATCTTTCCAAATATGTTGTGTCCTTATCACTTCTTGTTAATTGAACTGAAATCATATACAATGTTGTCTGTCTTATAAGCTATCTTTTTTAAACTACACCCCCAATCCCCCCTTCATGTAATGGAGATGGAGAGGAGGATGTGTATGTAGTCCACATTGGGAGAGTAGACTAGGGTGAAAATGCTGTTCCTCCATTGATACAGTGCAGCAAATGAGCATTGTCACCCTGGAAGTGTGTTAATTGCTGGAACATCCTCTAAAA